GATAATGCCACTAGAGCAAATGTCTTTTTCGCAAAATCTATGGTCCCTATTTTCAGTATCCCAAGTTTTTACTTCGTCAATATTTATTAAAATTTTTATGTACCTGCAACATCTAAATGATTTATACCAGATTTTCCGCCAAAAAAAAATTGAAGATATTATCTAACAAATAATACAAAAGATAACAACACAGCGAAAGCCTTTTTTTAATCAAAAATCAAATTTAATCGGTCCATTTTTGGAAGAGAAAACAAGGGTACGCTTGTACGTACGTATTTTTGGTTCGAGCTGTAGCTATCCATCCCTATTGGTTTCTACTGGGGAGAGGCTTGGTTGGGGATATACGTATTACTAGATAATACGTATTCCACTCGGTGACGGGACACGTAGTGTATAATTTATTTTTAATAGATATTTTAATGTTAATCGATTCATAGTTGTTGTTTTAGTGTTTTTAGTTATTTTTTATAAGCGGCAATAGTATCACATCATCTGTGAACATTTCAACCGTCTAACTATCACGGTTCATGAGACACAGCCTGGTGACAGACAGATATTGAAGTCTTAGTAAAAGAGTCCCGTTTTACCCTTTGGGTACGGAACCCTAAAGAAATAGCTTGTCATCATCAACGTTCGATATAAATAAAGTCTTCTTATTTTCTCTCTCGAAAAGCTTGCTTTACACCTAAATTTTTATCATTACCTAATTATACAAGGCTTTCTGCAATAGGTACATGCATAGAAAAATTTCATATACGAATATTCGATTTGGCAGGGCTGGAATGTTGTTACGTTTCTCAAGAGAAAATCCAACAATCTGTTTAGGCTATACAGTGTGCAAAGGAAATATAAATATATATAAACATATATAGACTTTACGTAAATGGCGATTGTGCAGGAACGGAACACCGGAACTCGGAAAAATAACAACCCGCCTATGAAATGAAAATGTGCGCGTGAAAAACATCCAGTTATTTATTTACGTTACGCTCTTTCTTTTCCCGCGAAATAATATTATTCCCTCATGCGTGGATGCGATAAAATGCTTTTCGGGTAGTAAAGAATATATGCAAAAACAAACGGATTTTTATTGCAATGCTAAAGACAACCACAAATCTCGCTCTGTGTTGTGAAATTTCAAAACGTACAGACAACTTAGGGTTCCAAAGGGTAAAACGGGACCTCACCCTATTACTAAGACCGCTTGCTCTCTGTTTGTCTGTCCGTCTGTCACCAGGCTGTATCTCATGAATCGTGATAGTTAGACAGTTGAAATTTTCACAGATGATGTATTTCTATTGCCGCTACAACAACACATAGATACTAAAAACAAAATAAAAAATATTTAAGTTGAGCTATCATACAACAAATATGATTTTTTGTCGTTTTCATAAATAATGGTACGGAACCCTTCGTTTTCTAGTCCGACTCGCACTTGGTTTTGTATTTTTTTTAAATAGTTATCCTCACTGTATGATAATATTATCATTTGGTTTTTGGTCGTTTTAGAAGAAAAAATATCTTCCACATCGGGAATAACTATGTGCAGGTCAATTGAATACCTGTCTCGTGTGGGAATCGAAGCAACGACCCACGAGGCCGTGGTCAATAGCTCCGCAATTTCGCCAATAAACGCAACATTGTCTCCAAAACTGTAAAACAACTTACAATGAAACTGTATTAAGGCGCGTTTGGAATCGTGGTTTTGACAATTCGTGAACATGCATCACGACATTTTCATGGTCAAAGTGAAGGTAAGATCGAAATTAACTTTTCATTGGATAAAACAAGCTATTGTTTGTAATAACAAGTGCATATTTGACTAAACTGTCTTAAAGCACCTATAATATGCGAAGGTGTTAACAGTTCAGTTAAAAGCACATAAGTTCTGTACGTTTTAACCGTTGTAAGGCCACGAAACGGCTTCGGCTGTTGGACGATGAGCAGGTCCGTCTGGATGAGTACCACCACCTCGTGAAGTGGAAGTGTCTGTCTGTCTTCTGCGTCTGAGGGGACCGGGGCTCACTTTTTTTAAATGTAAAAAAGTGACAAACGATCTGACGGTTCACCTGATGTCGGGTTGCAAATGCAAATGCGTTGCCACCCTTAAATAAAGTGCGCCCCGGCTACCTTACTCACCTGACGAAACGCAAAAGTGTAACACTTCTACTTTACGCCGGTCTTCTGTGAGGTCGTGGTATTTACCCGGGCGGACCTGCCCATTCGTGCAACAGCGAAGACTTGCGTTTTTTTCATGTGTAAAGTTGTCAAACGAACAGATGGTTCACCTGATGGTTAAATGAATACCGCCGCCCGTGGGCATCTGCCACACCCGAGGGTTACAGATGCGTTGACAACCTTTTGAAGATTGGGCCCCGGCTACCCCACTCACCAGACGAAACGTGAAAGTATTTGTCATATTTTCAGTTAAGCCGGTCTTTTGTGAGGTCGTGGTACTTACGCGGACGGGCCTGCCCATTCGTGCAACAGCCGAGGCTACTGCGTGGCCCTACCAGAGTACTAGCACTTTATTTAAAGGTGGCGACGCATCTGCAACCTTACGGGTGTGCGTGGCGGTGGCTATCACTTAACATCAGGTGAACCGCCAGCTCGCTTGCCACGTTCTCACATAAAAAAAGGTTATGATTTAAATATAAAAATCATTTTTGAGCTAAAGGCCTACTTAGCACAAAGACATAATGAAAGCATTTGTCCAGCGTACCGTATATAATGAATAAACATAAAACCTACTAAAAATATAAAAATAAACATTGAAAACACGACACAGACCCTAAAATGTCTTAATTATACAATTTTTTTTGATTCGGGTCCGACTGTGCGTGTTTCCAAAACGCTTTTATCTTAATAAATCTGTCCAACTGACAACATTCGCAGCGAATATATTAAGACCGCCGCAAAAAAAATTTGCGGACCACATAAATTTTATTGGAGTTGAAAGTAAGAGTAATATTTCGTATAGAACAACGAATGTCTGAAAAAAGATTAAAATATATTCAGTAAAACGTTTTCTTATTCATCATTAAAATATACCATTTTAGGGTTCCGAACCCAAAGGGTAAATCGGTACCCTACTACTAAGACTCCGCTGTCTGTCTGTCCGTCTGTCACATGAACCGTGATATTTATTATTTAGACAGTTAAAATCTGTTGCCACTATAACAATAAATATACTAAAAATCCATACAATAGACATGTTTTTGCTGTTTTTATAGTTAATGGTACGGAACCCTTCGTGCGCGAACCTGACTCGCGCTTGGCCGATTTTTATGTTACCAAACACTGTAATTGTATTGAGATAACGATAAATAAAAGTAGGTTAACTATTTGCAGATAAAGTCGTAAACGATAACTGACAAATTCGACACTTCCCATACAGCCTATATTGTTGACTAACAAGCTATAAGAAAACATTATCTCATTAAAATTTTAAAGGATTTAAAATTATATCTTTCAATGCTATCCTGATGTAACCCAACTTAGTGGGTATAATTAATTTCTGCTTCATAAATTTGTATCAACTTTTTTATATCCCATTTTTGCCACCAAATGACTTAGGGCAGGCAGTCCATTATCTTAGGATGTCATAATTTATCGGCTGCTACGAAATTGATGTACTGTATAAAAATGTTCGGAGGGATATATATTAACTGCTTATAAATAGTAAGTTGCTTTAAAAATGATTTCGGAGCATTTTATCGCCAATTTTCCTGCTACATTATGTTCTATTATTGGATCCCGCGACACCTCTTCAACTTTTCACTATACTGGGGTTTACAATTAGCCGAATTGTATAGCTCATTTGCCAAAGCGATTCGCTCTCCGCGGCTATGTCTACAAATTGACGGCCTTCGCGCTACAAAAACCGATCGTAAGACACTAATATAATCTCGTTTGCGTCCGACCTCCGTCTATGCATCTTCGGCGGTTGTTCTCTCATTTCGGACTTCAAACAATAATATTCGTGTTCGACGAAATCGACAAAAAGTGGCGAAGAATCTGTTTAGATAATTACAATTGAGAAGGCTGAAACGCTCTAAAACAGGAAATGCAAGTGAACGCCGTAAAACTGAATTGAAAAGGAAACGATTTTTACGAAACGAAAACAGGAACCGGCAGCTGTCCGCTTTTGTATGTTTACGCTTTAACTGACTTAGAAAATTTTCACATAAGTTCCTATGCTATGAGTAGCTACTATCAATACGGTGATCCTACAAAATCTATATAGATAGATATAACAATCGTCATATTTTGACTCACGTCTTATCACCATGAGAGTACGTTACGTAGTTAACGTCACCGTCTACGAGTAATCTGATCAATTATATTTAGAATCACCCACTAAGGGGATGTCTCCTCTTAGTGCAGCGAACCACATTGATCAACTTTGACACGTGGCATAGATACCGATAGCATCGAATTTAAATTTTTATAGAGCTAATCTCTGCACTAAAGATTAAACCTAAATTTTTTTGTAGACAAAAGGAATGAAAAGCTTTTCGCCGCTGAGGGAATCTGCTGTTTGGTGGCACTACCGTAGTGATTTATTCTAACTAAGGATCAGCATCCTTGTTGTAAAATGAAGTGTTAACGTAAAGATAACACTCATCTTCTTTCTTATCAGTCACATCTATACATACGTCTATATATTATTCAATCAATATCGACTTATGTTTTAGCTTTGAAAACTACTTTTCTTGACCGTGTATTTCAAATGTAGTAAAACAAAAAGATTTCTATGAATCGTGAAATATATTTAAATACTCTCACAAGAGCGTTGTTATTAATTGTCGACCCGAATGGCGAAGTGCGTAGTGTACCTGCCTCCTGCGCCAGAGGGTGTGGGTTAGATCCCCACTACTGGAAAAATATTATGTGATGAACATAGTGTTTTTCTAGTGTCTGGGTGTTTATATATCTATAATATGTATGTAAAAAAAAATTAATGACGCAACATTACTCATAAAATTTCTCCCTTTCAGGGTCTCCGTGTCACAACCATAATCGGCTCCTTCGGTACATGTGTCGGCGCCTGGCTCAAGGTGTTCTCGGTGTCCCCTGACATGTTCTGGCTGGGCTTCGCCGGACAGACTGTGGTCGCTGTGTCCCAGGTGTTCATCCTGAACGTGCCTCCACGGCTAGCAGCAGTGTGGTTCGGCGCCGACCAAGTCTCCTCCGCCTGCAGCATTGGTGTTTTTGGCAACCAGGTAGGATGGATGTGATATAATCTTGTCTATTGATGGCAATATGTGTCGTTTTTAAAGCTGAATTTGGGGATGGAATCAATGAATCATAGAACTTCTTTTTTATGTGAAAGATTGCCAAGCGAGCAGATGGTTCACCTGATGTTAATTGAATAACGCCGCCCTTGGACATGTGCTACACCCGAGGGTTGCAGATGCGTTGACAACCTTTTGAAAATTGGGCTCCGGTCACCTCACTCACCATACGGAATGCGACAGTATTATACTTCCACTTAACGCCGGTCTTCTGTGAGGTCGTGGTACTTACCCGGACGAGCCTGCCCATTCGTGCAACAGCCGAGGCTGCTGCGTGGCCCTACCACCGTTAAGAACGCCCTGTTAAAATCCAAACTTAAGCAGTCAGTTAGGAAGTGGAGTGACTATTGTCTTCGGCAATCAGGTTGTTGTAATATAGGGTCGTTTCAATGTGATACAATCTCGTCTATTGGAGGCAATGTTGGGTTAGTAGTCGTCTTGTTATAACAAGACTACGAGTTATAAAATTAAACCTCAAATTAAGTTTAACGATTTGAGAGCAATACTTGTAAAATGTAGACCCCAAAGCGACGAAAAACTCTGTATACAACCCTAGAACTATTTAAAATTGTAGATTTTTAAAACTACGCAACGGATCTTAATGCGTTTTTTTTACTAGATAGAGTGATTCAAAAGTAAGGTTTATATGTACAATATACTGCATCCGTGCAAAGCCGGGGTCGCTAGTTTATAATATGCATTTTTTATTACATATATGTTTTTGCAATCTTTTTTATGTTTTTTTTTTCCTCTGCACACAAAATTAAAATACATTGTTAACATAATGAGCAAATAAAACGAGTCGCGGGTAGCGGTTAGTTGGGAAATATAACATTCTATTGAGATAAGGCAAACTTCCTTGTGTAGGTTTATTATTAGAAAGAAGTGAGTTACCAAGTTCTGAAGAAATATTGCACGTGATTCTGTTCAGAAGGAAGTATTATCCAGCTAGTATTATTAATTTCGTACAGTTACCCGGTGAAGGATTTTCGGCGTGAAACTATTGCCTTCATTCTGTCCATTGTTACGCAATCGCTTTTACCAAGTTATATTTTTTCGTCCGTAGTCTATCAGTCCGTAGACTATTAACTCCGTAGACGATTAAATTCATAAGAGGTGGTTATATTATATAACATCCATTATGCAAGTTACACACTCAGCTGTCCCACCCCAATTGTTCCCTTTGATCGCCATCTCATCACCGGCAAGATGCCTTAGAATTGACCGTCATTACTATATTGTGAGAAGGTGGCAAGCGAACTGGCGATAGGGGTTCACCTGATGTTGAGTGATAACCGCCTCCCATGGACATATGCAACACCCGTAGGGTTGGAGATGCGTTGCCACCTTTTAAAGAAGTGGTCGCCGGCTACCTCACTCATCAGACGAAACGCAGAAGTATAACACTTGATTTATGTTTAGTTACGTGTCCAAACGCCTCTTACCGTGCTCCTCTATTTAAACAGATATATTCGAACTGACGTCAATTACGTCGCCTTTTAAAAGCGAAGTATTAATAAGAAATCGTAATTATAGATCTTAATATTGCTAAATTGACCAACGCAATAACGCTCCCAGCACTAAGATGCATCCTTCATTCTCCAGCCACAGTAATATATATGAGATTATTTGTAATTTGCGCCGCAAGTTGCAGCAAAAATCGTTTCGAGCATAGCTGCACGAGCGTTGGATGGTGCGAGTTTGACATGAGATTTCTACGAGCGGCCTGAACAATCGAAACAGTTTACACGTTGCCACATACCACAGTGCCAAATACCCCTACACCGTCGATACATAAACCAAGTTTTTTTTTCTTCCTTTACCACTTTATGCATTTTTAGCTTACGCCTACTACGTGGAGACACTTTCTTAAACGAGTCCCAAATATAACTGTTGCTCAGATGGCGGATCAGGCCGACTCTGGTAAGTGCGTCGATGGTTATGAAAGCATGTGATATACGGATTATAAATCAATGCCCGTGTTATCTATGGTCATAATTATATGAATTATGAATATTTTACATAATATTGCAACTGCAAAGATGTCACACTTTTTTAAACGAGTCTCAAATATAAGTGTTTGAAACATTGCATTAAACAATTCGATGCATATAGAAATAAGAATCAAAAATTTACAAAATCTTTTTAGTACTTTGATTAATAATATAAATAATTAGATAAATCAAATCAATGAAGTAAGGCTCACAAAATATAACAAGACAAATTCTTGAATATAACTTGCTCAGCTCTACAACTGCTGGTTCCTGATAAGGGGCTTACGGAAAATTATTAACTACGTGTCCATAAACATAAAGTCTTGAGTCCACTGGCATCAAACGAGAGCATAGCGAGAATTTTCTGCCGTCATGGCATTTTCTTCGAGCAGCTCCATGAATCTGATATTAACAATAGTGAATCCTCAATTATTCCTTATAGCAATTAGAGATAAGCTTATTCTGATTAGTCTGATAGTGTATCGATGGATATTATAACATGTCATACGCGGATTATAAATAAATCCCCATGTAATTTGTAGGTACAGGTAGATAAAATCTAGAATGTTCAAAATACTTTTGCGACGATCATGCCAGAAATAGATATAGATAAACTTTTAGACGTCTTAGATTACAACATAGTTTCTAAAACTGTGTAACCTGAATAGTTGTTAAACGACAACTTGGAAATTTCTTATACACTGCAACCCTAAGGATTTTGTACTTCATATTGGAACAGGTACTTAGGGGTTTCCAGTATCGAAGTAAATAAGGACCTTCACGAAAGAATTACCCAAACTTGAAACCATGCAAAGTGTACATTCGCAATTTGTCGATTCTTAAAGTGTAATGTTGATGACTCCGTGGAGCAGTTGCCAAGATATTGAGAAAACTACATGCGACCCACAGATAGTTGTTTCGCATCTGGGTGTTTGTCCAGGTGAAATTTATGTTTGTAAAACGTACTTACAATACAGGATAATGTCTTTCTAATAAAACTGTGGATTATGATAACCATTTAAAATTTTAATTGTTAGTTGTGATAATTTACGTTATTAATGCTACTTAAAGTCGTCCTTCGAATATTTAAAAGAACAAGGCCAATTCAATCTGATATACCACTGCTAACAATTTAACCTTAATATAACAATAACAGTACTGCCTAGGTACAATCTTACAATCGTACCATCTCTCGGGAAATCTGTTCAGTTAACAGAGATTTTATAAGGAATCGTATATAATTTTATATAACAATATAATATCTGTGGCAAATGCCTAGCATTATTTTATGTGGCATGTGGGAGATGAAAGATATTAAGGAAATTGCTTGGGTACTTCATACAATTGTCGGGACAAACGTTGTTTCCTACGTAGTGCTACTGTGATTCTATCTTAATCTTTTTAATATTAAGAGAATTTTTGACGAGAGTTTTTCAAAGATAGTCTTTATATTGTTTGTGTTTGTGTGTGTGTGTGTGTGTGTGTGTGTGTGTGTGCGTGCGTGCGTGCGTGCGTGCGTGCGTGCGTGCGTGCGTGCGTGCGTGCGTGCGTGCGTGCGTGCGTGCGTGCGTGCGTGCGTGCGTGCGTGCGTGCGTGCGTGCGTGCGTGCGTGCGTGCGTGCGTGCGTGCGTGCGTGCGTGCGTGCGTGCGTGCTTGCGTGCGTGTGTGTGTGTGTGTGTGTTGGTAGAAACTGGATAACGACGTAGTGCTTATCCATAGATTAGTTTGTACAACACTAGAACAATAATCCTAACAGATAGTTATACCCAAGTAGTCTTCCGTGGACCCTCGCTGATATCAATAACAGCTCGCGGAAGCGTTTATCCAATTCACGCCACACTGCACGAGGGGCCTACAGGATTGGATTTAATTTTCCTCACCGGTGCTAGATGAATTAGTGCCTCATCGTGCAGTGATAGCCTAACTGACTCAGTGCCGAAGTGGTTGGTTTTGGCGCATCGCATCGTGGGTTCGATTGTCACTGTCACGAGGCTATGACGACGACATACTTGTTGTCCTCATTGCCTCCATCGTCCAAACCCGGTACGATTAGGATGACGAATACAATGACGAATACATGATGATGGAGTACGTCATCCTAATCGTACCGGGTTTTGCCAGGGGTGATTGATGTTAGAAAATATTTTTTATATTATTACTGGGTAAAAACAATAGAAAAAGGAAGGGAACGCTGACAAATTCATTATTTAATAATTCACTAACTGATAATTCATTACTGCAGACATACATATTTTTAATTGTGTTTTATAGGTTTCATTTGATGAGATTGCTAAGTTGCCCCCGTTCTATATTCTTGAAATGTTCCTATTTTGTTATATGTATTATAATACTGGCCGGTAATAAAAATCTCTCGTCTACAGTGAAAAAGTTGATTACAAGATATTTGAGCGTGTATTTATAACTGTCCCTTATTGAATACCAAACAGGACCAACAACCTTATAACTGGTTTTTGAGGAAAACTCGATGTTAAGCATATGCCCAGCGAGGCTACATAAAACGTGCAGTGTACGCCGTATAAAAATTATACAACTGTGGAATATTCCTCTTGTGAGAATCTATTAATCTTTATACATTCTGAACTCTTTCAAACGACCTTTTAATTAATCTTTAGGTCTATTCGAGAATGGTTTAGATTAACAATTCGATCCACTACATTTTTCTTTAATTTTTTATTTAGAAGTTGTTGTCGGATTTAAGTCGTGTGTACAGGACAACGTCTGACGGGGGCCGCTACTTAGCGTGTTATACATTTACTTCGTGTGAATATAAGAGGGAACGCTGGGACCGCTGTGCCATCACGTTCTACATTTTAATGAAGAGACAAGGGTCAGTCACCGGTAAAAATATATGACAAGCGACCCGCCCCGGCTTCGCACGGGTACAATGTGTAATACATATAAACCTTCCTCTTGAATCACTCTACGTAGTAAAAAAAAACCCGCATCAAGATCCGTTGCGTAGTTTTAAATATCTAAGCACACATAGGGACAGACAGATAGCGGGAGGACTTTGTTTTATACTATGTAGTGATTAAGATACGTTGATACCATCCTCAAACCGGCCCGCTTATGACTGTGCCCATAGACTCTCACGAAGAAAGAGGCTTCCTTTGGCAATTCGTCTGGTAAGTGAGGTAACCGGGGCCACTTTTTGAATGTTGGCAACACGTTTGGTTCCCGTCAGATGTTTTCGATGTACATGGGCGGTATAATCACTTGACATCAGGTGAACAGTCTGCTCGCTTGCCAACATTAAATATAAAAAAGTAATAATATTAGTATAAACACAAAACCCTTTTTCATTATAAACTACCCACTTATCCTTTCTGGATATCGGTTTGTGTTATAACATAAGGTTAGGTTTATTTATATAGGGTAAAGGTAGGGCATAACATTGCCTACTGAACTAGTTTTACTGGGTAAATCTAATTCGTCCTCCTTTTTACTATACCTCCCTCTTACGTTTTCGTTTACTCAATATAATGCCCGTTTCAAGTAATAAGTCGACATTTACGGTTTACAAAATTACGCGGTGTAACAGATAAACCGGCAACAAATTCTGGTAAGATGACATTGTGTTTAATGGCAACCGCTGTGTTTCCATGTGCGGCATATGTGTACAGATTGATATTAGCAACGTTTAAGAGGTTAGAAAACCATAGCAAGATAGACAAAATAGACTTTAGAGACATGATTAATGTTCTCACATTCAATGTTCTATCGCCTTCATTTCGCAGCAAGCGAGTCGCGAACAATGTCGTAGATTTAAATAATGGCCTTTTAACCGCATCCGTGGCGTGATGAGAAGATTAATGATCGGATATTAAAAGTGTCCGCTAGACTTGGTATTAATATGGAAATGTTACAATGCTGTAGAGAATATATGACGCTATTATAAGGTTTGGTGTGGTATTGTTGGAAAGTCACACCGCTTATAGCATGAATAAGACCGGTCGAGGTAATCTAATTGAACTCGGAAAATGTAATATTTGATGGTAGCTCGGATTTTCTGACATTAGAACAGTTTTAGTTAGATGTAACTAAAACTTTAGTCGTTCTTTCTTTAAAACTTTAGTAAAGTTGGAAACGTTTCTGTGTTCGTAGATTTATAAAATAAAATAAAAGGCTATAAAAAAAAAACAGGCCAAGTGAGATCGGACTCGCGCACGCGCTCCATACATTATCTATAAAAACGGCAAAAGAAACCATGTCTGTTATAGCCCCACTAAATTTTTTTTTATTCTGTTTTTTTTTTTTTTTGTTGTTATAGCGGCAACAGAATTACATCATCTGTGAAAATTTGAACTGTCTAACTATCATGGTTCATGGGAAACAGCCTGGTTACAGACGGACAGACAGACGGCGGACTCTTAATAATAGGGTCCCGTTTTACCTTTTGGGTACGGAACCCTATAAACTTGTTTTTAATATATCGTTAATGTTGACATTGCGAAATCTTGAGGAAAATCACAATACTCAAGCCAGTTAACTTTTTCTGCTTGAACAAAGTCGTACAAGTTCATAAAAAAATCTTGCTATGACCAATAAATAAAAAACAATAAGATTATTGAATCAAATATTTCATATTATGTAATCCGTATTTCAATTGCTAATGATAATGAATTATTTCACAAGAATCAATTTCAAACAACGACCTAGTAAAATGTAATAATCTCAGATTATGCGTTAACTTTTGAGGTTATCAGTCCTTTGCTCCATGACCATTCAAATTTTTTTATCACTACATAGTATAAAACAAAGTCGTCCCGCTATGTGTCCCTATATACGAGTATGCTTAGATATTAAAAACTACGCAACGGATCTTGATGCGGTTTTTTTACTCGATAGAGTGATTCAAGAGGAAGGTTTATATGTGGTAGTTTTTTGCCTATCAATAAGTAAGTGAATACTTCTATATTGAATAAAGATATTTGACTTTGACTTTGACTTTACTTATTATGTATAATACTCGTACTTTGCACCCGTGCGAAGCGGGGGCGGGTCGCTAGTTTTTCATAAGATTAACTATCAATCTTTACCGTAACTTTTTTGTTTGAAAGTCTGCTTGGAACCAGTTCTAATTAAAAAAAAATCTTAATAAAGTTCTCATCTTAATTAGTTCTAATTTAAAAAAAATTACATATATCTATACTTATGTACGAGCGTAAGAAGTTATATTCCTTAGCGTAACAAAAGGAAAATAACTAAAAAAATTCCCCCATGCCGTACTCTTTGTTTGTGAAAAAAAGACATTAAATGCGATTGATAAGGGTTTAATTAAATAACCTGTATTATAGGTGAATGTCAAAAAGTTATTATTGGTTGTCTTATGTATGACAATACCATGCATTTGATCGCTTAGCGACCAACTTCAGCATGTCACTGTCGATTTGCGCGCGTATCGTAAAAATATTATTCCCAAAGTTTTTCCAAACTCGCCAAAACAAGTATAACTTCTAAAATTTTAAATTAATGTCATGAATAATCAATAATGTCATCATATTTAATTATAGGTGACCGTGAATTTGACAATCTACATTAACAATATGCATATGTGAATGAAATACATTTTTTTAAATGAATCAAATATCGACCATATACAAGGCAGTGGTCACATTCTTGTCACATGTACCACATGTATCACTCGAAGTGCAAGTTATATTGGCTGGCAGGCGTTTATGTTGCGAGTGTTCGTAGCTTCTCTATCTGATTTGTAAGGCAGCCGTTGACGGTGAAGTCGTGAGTAATGACTGTAATGATGGTAACCAATTTTCGCGCATAAAGACATATCATTCAGTTACTTCCTCGCTTTGAAAATTGCCTCGTTAACAACAGTGATCTGTTGTGTTTTAAACACGCACAACTCATAGACTCTATGAAAGATATTGACAATATAATAAAATGTTAAGATAATGAAAATTTCGTGGTAGACATCTGTTGAATGCAAATATTGCAAGTGCGAGAGAATAATTGTACCCTCTTTATGCCATAAAGTTTGAACGAATTTTAATTAAATTCGGAATGGAGACATCTGATAAGCTGGATTTATACATAGATTATTCTGCTGATTCTGCGATTATTATGCTGTCATAATATTATTTCCAACTTTCCAACCTTTGGAGTTCAGCAACTATTTCGCATTATTCAGCTCGGGTTTTTTTAATGCCTAATACAGCGTCATTTGATAAGAGCTAGCCGTACGTTTAGATTTAGGTGAGACATTAAGGAACTCTAATCTTAAATTACTAAGTTAATAGATATGGAATCGGCTCGGAATCGGATTTGACTTGCGTTACTCCCACAGCTGGGCGTGGCGCTGGGCTTCCTGCTGCCGCCGATGCTGGTGCACGCGCAGGGCACCATGGACGAGATTGCTGCAGACTTCCGCCTCATGTTCTACCTAGTCGCCGGCTTCACCAGCGTACTCTTCGTCTTCATACTGCTCTGTGAGTTTGTCCATCTATACACGATTCATTTCCCTATCATAGGATTTTAGGTAAACAATCGTCATTGTAAATTAATAAAATTCAATTTAGTTCATCAAGACGTAAATAATTGCTCATAAAATGGTGAATGGCTATTATACCTATGTACCGGATTCACGACTGTTTTTTTAAAGGAGAAGTTAAATAACCAAGCATTTTATAGCATTCTAGCCAATCTATCAATAATAACACAATGTGTGCAATGAAATGTTAAATGTTAATTTTATATTATGAATTTTGAACCAGAATGGTTGCAAGTACAATTTCGGCTTTTGTCATGATGGTATGGTTCGGGCGAAAAGTAGTGAAACCTTAGTCAGTACGATGGTCTCATACTTTTCCTAGACACTTTTACAAAAGTAGCTCTGTTAGAAGAAATAATTGGCCGTTGTGATCTTTACAGACGATTTACAGAAACAGTCTTGTTACGATATATGACGATATGAAACAAAACTTAGAATTAGATAAAAATAATCTTCTAATCTTCACAACTAAATATGTCGCCTATTTTAAGAAAAAGTTTTGATGTTTTTACGAAATTATAACATGTACATAAAAATTATATTTTAAACGCATCAGTAAAACCGAATTCCAGGAAAATTAGGATACTATAATCGCTCGCAATTTTCTTGCATCTCTTATTATCTTAGTGAATGTCCTCATAAAGTATGGTGATATTCAAGTAAGGATTAATTTTGAACGTGAAGCATTCCTCCCTCAAGCAAGCTCTCCCAATGGAAGCATCCTACGAGATTATTTTTGAGCTGCAAAATTGAATCGTCCAACGAAGCGAACTTCTCAACAAATACTCGTACAAATAGCGGCTCGGGCCGTTGAACTCCAAAAGTAATTTCCTTGTTCAGGCTTTATTTTAAATTGATTTCTTTAGACGAAGATGTTTCCATGTAAATGATCGCTCCAGCCCATCTTACAATGTCGTGAGATTACTGAATACAAATTTGTCCATTTTTATTGAAGCAAATTTAACCAATTCACGAAAATAATATTAAGTTATGAAACTGCTTTTATAGTGTAGTGGTGGTCCTTTGAAAAGTGTCTGTTTTATGGAGAATCAATCAAATCAACAAAAGCTACAACAAAAGTTTTCTGTCTACATCCACTACGCCAATCGGTTTGTCAAACCACACAGGATTATGTTTGATCGAACATCGTTTTACGGTGGTAGGGCCACGCAACACTGTTGCACGAATGGGCAGGCTCGTCCGGGTAAGTACCACGACCTCACAGAAGACCGGCGTAAAGTAGAAGTGTTACACTTGTGTGGTCCGTTTGGTCAGTGAGGTAGTTGGGCCCACTTTATTTAAAGGACATGGACATTTGCAACCCACGGTGGTAGGGCCATGCAACAGCCTCGGCTGTTGCACGTATGGGCAGGCTCGTCCGGGTAAGTACCATGACCTCACAGAAGACCTGCGTAAAGTGGAAGTATAACAAATACTTTCGCGTTTCGTCTGGTGAGTGAGGTAGCCGGAGCCCAATCTTCAAAAGGTTGTCAACGCATCTGTAACCCTCAGGTGTAGCAGATGTCCATGGGTTACTCCAATGACTTTGACTGAAGATGCAATATTTGTTCGTCACCAGTCTTCAAAGCCGCCCCAGCGAGCCCCCCGTCAGCCGCTGCCGACCTTGGCTCCAGTCTGGATTCGAACTTCCTGCAGTCCATCAAGAAGCTTCTCACCAACCGCAACTACATACTCCTTCTAATCTCATACGGCCTGAACGTCGGTGTATTCTACGCCATATCCACTCTGCTCAACCAAGTCGTCCTCACTTATTATCCGGTATGTGGAAACTTTATTAACTCTCTAATAATTTTGAGTATACGTGTTTTTTTTTTTCTATAATTAAGAATTTAAGCCATTGCATTGGTTGGTATTATACTTAAGTTGTCGCTCTTAACTTTTAGAGAAAAAGCGAAGTGGGTAAGCGTCTTAACAGGAAGCGTCTTAACGAAATTTACATATTAAATGGAATTTTCAATGGTTTTAACCGACAATTGAATATTTTACATAGTTTAGCAAAGAAGGTTTAACACACATTTTCTACCGGGGGAAACTCTCAGCGTGTTATCTATCTACTTTGTTTTTATTCAATTTCTATCAACGCATATACACATTTTTAAGTTTCATATTAAATTGAGAGATTTCAGGCATATCGCCTAGTTCATATACCATAAACTACCTACTAACTACTACTACTACTACTAACAATCTGTTGTATCTAGGAAATGTAGAGATCGTTTAATCTGTAATCGGTTAGGGCGCGAACGAAGACGCCGGCCGCATAGGGCTGGTGATCGTCGTGGCGGGTATGGCGGGCTCGGTGCTGTGCGGCCTTGTGCTGGACCGCACACACCGCTTCAAGGAGACAACCCTGGCCGTGTACGCCGCCTCCGTGGTGGGCATGTTGATCTTCACCTTCACCCTCGACTGCGGCGTCATCGGCGTGGTGTACTTGAGCAGCATCATCCTCGGGTGTGTAGCGATCGGTATTCGTAATGTTTAATTTAACAAATAACCCTCTTAGATATCTACAATGCCCGCAGTTGCATTCGCTACATTTAAGGCATTTCAAAAATATATTCCACTTCTTCTGTGAGATCGCGGTTCTTCCCCTGACGAGTCTGCCCATTCGGGCAATATAAGAACTCGTCGCTTGGCTCAGCCAAAGTAGATTTTTATAATTAAGGTAGTCTTTGGTCATATCATGGTACCGTATCGATATGGTTAGAGCGTGTCGCAGTACATATACGATTATAGTCCTTTCAAATTCAAATGTGTACAATTATTGATTGTTAAGATGCTATTGGGAAAGTGCTTGTGTTGTTGAATAGCGATTTTAAATCCTCCCTAATGATGTCCGCAGCTTCTTCATGACCGGCTACCTACCCGTGGGATTCGAATTCGCCTCCGAAGTGACCTACCCCGAACCCGAGGGGACCACCTCTGGCATCCTGAACGCTGTTGTGCAAGTAAGATGCACGATATTCCTCTTCTATCATCTTCTCTCTGAGATCTGTTTGTTCTTAATTAAATCTTTATCATCTCATTATTTTCACAATTTGAAATAAACAACCATTTGTCTTATAAATAAAACATAATTTTCACTCACAACACAATAACACAAAGCTCGTCTTTTCTTCTATACAATTACAATTACATCATCACTTATTCTTTCTGATTTCTCTCTTACGTACGGTTTCTATCCTAAATTTTATTAGGTTTAAGTGAGAAGGGGGCAAAAGATGGCGGTTTACCTGATACTAACCGCCGCCCATTGACATTTGCAACACCCGTTGGGTCGCAGATGCGTCGCCACCGTTAATAAAGCGAGCCCCGGCTACCTCAATCACCAGAAGACACGCGGAAGTTTAACACTTCCACTTCAGTGAGGTCGCGGTACTTCACGGGACGGGCCTGTCCACTGTTTTATATCCTTACTTCCTTACTATCCTTACTAATAGTATAAAGGCGAAAGTTTGTATGTATAGATAGATGTTTGTTACTCTTTCACGCTAAGTACTGAATGGATTTTAATGAAACTTTACAATAATATAGCTTATACATCGGAATAACACATAGGCTATAATTTTTATACATAGTTTTATGTAAATCTGTCTTTCTGTCCCAATGTTACGCCTTCAGCTTATTCTACGCAGACGTGGTCGCGGGCAGCAGCTATTTAGCTATATAGGCGCCAAATACACATCTCGACGGTTCTCAGGTGTTCGGCATAGTGCTGACTCTGGCATACGAGCGCATGCTCGAGTCGGTGGGCGACCGCTGGTCGAACCTGGGCCTTTGCGCGCTGCTCGCCCTGGGCACCGCCATCACGGCCGCCATACGCTCGGACCTCCGCCGCCAGGCGGCCCAGAACAAGGGATAAGCGACTCAATCTTATACTCCATAAGGGTTAGTATCGTGTAGCAAACAACGTACACAAGTCACCGTTCGGCAAACTTAAATTAAATTTATTTGAACTAGAGTATGGTATGGCACTTAAAAAATTAGAAAGGACTCACTCCAAAGGGTGGTACCCTCGTAATATACTTATTATTATTTACAGTTTTTTAATCTCTCAGCCTTTTCTTCTCATGAGCAGTTATTTAAGCTAGTTAAATAATTTCCAACATTCTGTAAAAGCCACCTTAATCGAAAGGGCCTATTATAATGTCGAGGAATACATTGAGGACAAGGAAGTGTGGAAATTACTCTTGCTCTGTACTTGCAAGTCCCCTAGTTCCTGCAAATATTATACTTAAATACTTTTATGTATAAAGTAACAGTCTCACTGCTGGGCAAAGGCCTCCGCTATACAGAGGGTATCAGGGCATAGTCCACCACGCGGCCCCACTGCGGATTGGCGGACTTCACATATCTTCCAAATATTTCTTTTTTGTTATTATTTCGAAAATATGCACGTTTCCTCACGATTGTTTTCCTTCACCGCGGAGCACGTGATAAGTCAGCACTTAAAGTAAAAACTTAATTGGTGCCGGCAGCGGGGATCGAACTCAGGTTGCTCGAATATATTGAATTAAAGACGAGCGCCCGGACACTGAGCTATCACGGCTCTTGTGTATATACTTAAATAATTCAAAGAAAAGCCATATGACAGCTTAGTTAACATTTACGATGATTCCTTCAGAAACCGGGCGTAAGTATTAAAAGGAAACAATACGTCCATAAATTTATACCATTTTGAAATTGATTACATTGATTGATTACAGGAACATCAGCTCACGGAAGCTTGGGGAGAGCAAGATTGGGGTTGTAATGCATTGAATATTTACGAAAATACTGCATGCATGTTACGATTAATGCATGTAAGAAATCAAAGGATGCAATGATATGTTTACTAAGAATCTTTATTAGCTCTTGTTACGATTTATTGATAGACATCACCCGTTTCAAATGCGTAGAACTGATCACCTGTTCGTGTAGCAGGCTGTATTTTACAGATAGAAACATAAGTTTTTTTATTAAAAACCTGTTTCGTGTTGGACTTAGAGTTAAAAGACACTGTTAAAATTATACATGTATTTATATATTTTATATATAATATTTGTTGTCTCTCATACTGTGGACCTGATTGAGTTACAGAAAATAATTAATATCTTTTTCTGACGACACTTTTGGGTGTATTGAAAAAGAATTAAAAAAAATCCACGATGGGCAGCGTTTTATTACATAAGATAAAAAGGTAGAGCAAATGTCTTTGCAACAATAATTATATTAAGCTGGATAAATACAGTACGATATTAGCATTGATTGCTTTCTTGTCATGAAAAGTAATAGAAAAGTGTCATGAAATGAAATCGAAGCTATTTGGCTATGAGTAGATACTACATAATACTGAGTAGGTAATGGTAAGGCATTTACTATACTATCCAATTAGCATTGAGGAAGTTAACGGTATCTACTATGGGCTGTACAGTTTTTTTTAAAATATTTGACATACAATATTAATACTTCTAACCGACTTTCAATTCGATTGTATGGTTTAAGTTCGTTACATGACGACTCTGTTATTTCTGGACCGATTTTAAAAATTCTTTCTGCATTGGGTTCAGTACATACGATCTTGGAGACCGAGATGCATCAGAGAAATCTTCACAAGAAGTAAGAGAAGAGTGAGTTATTTGAAGTCACCTTTATAGTTTGTTAATTTATATGTACTGAACCCAAAACCAAAACTTAGATATTAGTTTTGGTTCCATAAATTTTATTTTAATTTAGAAGGGCCTAAGGAAACATCGGTATGTACCTAATACAATATTCTGTAAGGAAAGTATGACATGCCATATCAGATCAAGATATTTTAATTTTATTTATACAAATTGGACACGACATTATTCATCAGACTATCATTTTACACTTACAGCTTAATAAATTCAATAATTATAAATTATAAAATATTTAGAAATGGTTTGAAATTAGCATTTCATATCACATCAACATTATATCTCTTGAAATTTTACAACAGTAATAGAATTACTAGACTTATATGTAATTTGAATATATTACGATACATCGACGTTATACATAACGATTAGACTTAAATATACGGAGCTGATGATTAAACGTGACAATAAATGAATGACTTGAAGAAGATTTGTAGTGATTTACCTTTATGTAAAGATCCAAATATTTTGGTATTTGTCTAATAGTCTAATATATTGTAGTTGAGAAAAATTTTGCAGTATAATACTGCTTAATATTGTAGTATAATAAATACTTGTCTGCATTGCATTTTATGAATATTTATGAAATGTGCATTTTGTAAAAAGGTGATTATAGTAGTGAGTAGTGAAATATATTTATTTAATTGCAAATTTGTGAAATGTTTATAATTATGGCGTTAGGCGTTGAAAAATAGATGCATTGCATCTCACTACACTACTATATAAATTTTAAATGTTATAGAAAACTAGTTAACGGACAGACTGTCCCGTGACCATCGCTGGGAGGGTTGGAGGGTTGGACGCTGGAAAGGGTTCGAAACGTCAATAATTAAAAATCAAAAATCGTCCAATCGCGATAAAATCCGTAAACTAATTTCATTTAATATATATAATATTGGCGTAAAATTAAGTAATCAATACTTTTAATTTTCTTTTTATAATAATGTTTGAAAAATTTTTTCTACTAAGAAATCTAGGAAAAATTTGTCTTTAAATGTGCCGCTCAGCACAGATCTCGCATGTTTTTGGATATTCATTTTTCTACCAAATACAACGTGTGAGTTAAGGCAAATAATAAAATGTAATAAATATTCCAATTGAAATGAATGTGAAATGAACAATGAAAAATGATTTATATTTAAGCGTTACGTCTCATTTGTGTTAATAGGAGTTATCTTGCAATGATACTATTTGCAAATTGTGATGTTATCCAGTATTAAATATTATTTAGCAATACACTATTTGTTTTAGTGGAATAAACATACGTTTAATTGTGAATAAAATATTATTGATCCATGCTGCATTGTCGGCTGATTATGAAATAATAATAACTGTTGAACTTGATGTGAAATATATGTGTAGCAAAATTGTGTCTTGTTTTAATAGTCCTTAAAAATCGTACTAAAAAGGCGAGCCCACAATTGAGGCAAGATTTGTTAGAAATGATAGTCCATCTAAACTTTCAAAACCCGTCTTGCTGTACAGCCCGACAAGGTCATCCACGAATATCTTAATGCAAAACGACGTTGAATAATTTTTTGCGTGCTGGATTACCACGACCATATCTGCAACCACCTAGCGCTACGACCACTGCGACCATCATAAAGGTAGACAATGAACAATATATATGTACCTGCACCAGTACAATTGAGCGTCGCTTGCGCTTTATCGTGTAATAACTCGTTATCCAGCAGAAACAGATACAACGTTTAGAGCTTTAACATAATTTATTATCTTTTTATGTTTAAAGTAAGCAAACGAGCAGGCAGTGTTAAGTGACTTCCGCCGAAATGGACATCTAACTTGCTTTGCCACCATTAAACCAATTTACCTCGCTCACCTTACGCTAGTCTTCTGTGAGGCCGAGATGCTACGATGGATGAACCTGACCATTCGTGCAACAATCGAAGCTGCTGCATGGCCCTACCACAAAAAACGGAAAGAAATATATAATTGTAATTTTAGTTATTTCAACAAATGGGGAAATCATAATAGTATATGGTTTGTGGGTTCTACAATCATAATCTGTGTGCAGGCGCGTATTAATGATATGGAAAACTGGTTAATATTTTGTTAAAGCATGATGAATAAAAATTATAAATAAACATGAAGCGTTCAATAACGATTAAAGTCGACTGCAACACTTCAATATTTTAACCTTGTTTTAGAATGAAATGGTGTTTTGAATTAATGTTATTTAAAATTCTATAATGAATGATGCCCAGCAACAAATTATAAGTCAAACATGTAAAGGACATATAACAAAATTTCCCGGTCGTGGTTAATATCTTTTTTTATATAGTTTACTTATATTTTCCAAAGCCAACTAATTTCGCTTGTAAATAATCATATATAATATTATGTTGATAATTCAACATTTCTTTCAAAGAGACTGGACGCACCTGCCCATCCAGGCTTAGTAAACGGGAACTAGAAGACCTGTATTTCGCTCTGCTTGATAATAATTTGGAATTAAAACAAACCATCAATAACCAAAATGAAAAGATCAAGCAATTGTCTACTAGAGTGCAAAGGCTATCCGCAGTTCAGAGGACAAGCCTTAGTAGGAGTGAAAGGGATTGTTGTACAAGTGGAAAAGCTGTGATTAGGGAGCAGAATCAGATGTAAATACTTATATTATTAACAGATTATAACATTCATTTGTTGAGACTATGACCTAATGTTTAAGGATATAATTTACCTGATTCACAGACTTGAATTATTTGAGTTCTTGTTTATGTTATTTATATAAAGTATATAAAACTTTTGTTAATAAATATGATATTATTGTTATTTAACAGAATGCAAGAAATGAATATATTAATATTTCAATAAGTAAAGTAAAAAAAAAGTATCAGCCTATACATGTCCCACTGCTGGGCAAAGGCCTCCACTGTACAGAGGGCATCAGGGCATACCACCACGCGGCTCCGCTGCGGATTGGCGGACTTCACATACTTCCAAATATTTTTTTCTTTTTTGTTATTTCGAAAATATGCAGGTTTCCTCACAATGTTTTCCTTCACCGCTGAGCACGTGATAATTCAGCACTTAAAATTGACAATTTCATTGGTGCCGGCACCGGGGATTGAACTCAGGTTGCTCAAGTATATTGAATTAAAGGCGAGCGCCCGGACACAGAGCTATCACGGCTCTTAAATTATATCATTTCAATAAATATATAATAAAATTAGGAATACAAATTTTGAGTTTTTAAATTGAAACATTTGAATTAAAAACAAGTTTTACTCTTTGTTAATAGCATAGCAGACCAAAAGAGAGCTAATGACAGACTTTCAGAGAGGGTAAAAATTTTAAATATGAGGCTCTGCTCTGCAAAACAGTTTTTAGGTCGGAATTCTGCCCGCTGCAATAAATGCTGCTTGGGAACAAACATCTCTGTTAAGTAAGTCCTTTTTTTGTGTGAAGACAACCTTTGTTCTTGTTATTATCTAACTGTAATATTATGGCAGTGTTCCTTAAAAGAGACATTTCTTTGAATATATTTTGCTTTTAATATTAGTCAATCTCCGGATCTATGTTAACTCATTAGACAACTATTACATCTACAACTGTGACATTATTAATATGTCACAGTTGTAGATGATATTAAATTGTGTTAAAAACTTTATTTGATAGCTTTATTCAATCCAAGTTTTAGGGTATATTCAAAAAAATAGACAATCACTGAAATGAAACATTTCAACCTGCATTGATAGGTAATAAAGTTATTACAATTGTAAGAAGAATGACATAAAATATATTTCAATATTAATCGCTAGTTGTTTTATGGCTTGTTTACCTACTTATTATTTTTTGATCTCAGAAATTCAACAATAAGTGCAACACTCAACAGTGCAAATAAAAGAAGTGCATCCAATCTTCAAACAACTATAGCCTCAAATGAAATTATTCACAAGTATGTATTGTTACAAATTTTGCTTTCTTTGATATTTTTTTTTGTTTATGTACTTTGACGGACATTTTTTAATTTTTTCTTTAGTTCAGATTACTTCTTAAGTATGACTTGTTTTCTTGAACAATTCATGAGAGTTATATTTTGGTTGCTAATTTGTTACAATAGTTTAGTGAGATAAAATGTTTTAAGCAAGTTATAGTGTATGTTTGGTAGTTAATTTAGATAGATCTTTTTTTATTTAAAATTAAAGTCCTTTGTAAATATATATAACACTCTCAGGACAGCACCAATAATTGTCAGCATGTTTACTTGTTTTTTATACATTTTTACAAAATGATGAAATTTTTATTTTTTGTAAAATGAAAAGTACATTATTATACATAATTTATATTAAGTAAATAGAAACTTATTGCTCTAAATTCCCGTAACGGCTTTTATTAATTTTTTAACTTAGCCACCTATTTCTCCGCCTGGAGGTTGATGAGGAGATATGCTGATGGCATTTAGACCGCCTTAAATATTTCTTGCAAAAAATTTAAATAAATTATTACTTTGATAACATAAAAGTAGAATAATATTTGACTGTAATTATTAATGACTTTCTTTTTTAAGGGAACTTCCTCAGACAACATCCGTCGAGGTGCAAACTGACCATCTGGATGCGTAAGTAAACCTTTTATTTTTACTTGAAACATGAAACAAATAGGAAATGCCGGAAAGTCTACAGCCTGAACCTCGGATTCGTGACAGATTTCAACATATGATTCTTTACAGTTGGGGAGTAAGTAAAAAAGTAAAGTATCAGCCTATACATGTCCCACTGCTGGGCAAAGGCCTCCTCTGTAAAGAGGGTATCGGGGCATAGTCGACTACGCGGCCCCACTGCGGATTGGCGGACTTCACATATTTTCGAAATATATTTTCTTTTTGTTATTATTTCGAAAGTATGCAGGTTTCCTCACGATGTTTTCCTCACCGCGGAGCACGTGCTAAGTCAGCACTTAAAGTTAAAAACTACATTGGTGCCGGCACCGGGGATCGAACTCAGGTTGCTCGAGTATATTGAATTAAAGACGAGCTCCCGGACACTGAGCTATCACGGCTCATTTAAGGCTAGTTGGGGGATTGACATAATAAAACATTGCCCTTACTTTACGATAACATTATCCTGTATTGTAATGATGTTTAACAAACATAAATTACACGCGGACGAACACCCATATGCGAAATAACTTTAGGTCACACAAATAATTGTCCCGTGTGTTAATCGAACCCACAACCCCCGACGCCAAATCCAATACCTTGACAACTGCGCCACGGAGTCATCAGGATTTATTAATATATAGTTTTTAAGTTTACATCTAACGGAGGGCCGCATGGAAATGTCATGTATGGCCCTAGAGCCTGGATGCTCATACGAGAGCTGGAGTTCAGGCCATAGTTCAAATACTTGGCTCACATCTTTATACTATGTTTAACAGCTTTGAAGAAATTTGCCATCTTATTTGTTTTCACACGACATTCGATATAAATATTAGGAAGTTTTGTTTAACTATTTTTTGGCACTGTCCTGCACTTGTGTGGATTGTGTGTCGAAAAGCTAACAAAAAAACAAGGGTGAGTTTTGAGCAGCTTAGAATCTAGCCATCATGTGGGGTGGTAGTCAAGCACTGGTTAGTCCATCATAAAAATGGTCATTTTTCCACGCTGAATAATATCTAAGACCGTTTTATAGTGACAACGGGGAAAAGGTGTGCAACGAAAACAAATGCAAGACTCTAATGGAGGAGTTGAAGCAGAAAATTGTCGCTCTGGAAGAGGTAAGATAAATGTTTAACAGTTTAAGGGACACTCTTCACATCTCATTTATCGATGTGATATCTCATTTAGCGTAGTGGGGTTTATTATAGCGAGTCGCAGGATAATTTAAAGTCAGATACTATTGTTTGTTGGAATTAAAATTAACTGTCATAGAACTGTATGGATACGTTTTCTATAGCCCTTACGACTGAAATGTTATGTAATAATACAGGCACGGATTCGGATTATTGATAAAAATTTACAATGGAAGTTTTTCAGGGGGTAAATTCAAACCAAAACTTTCTATATGTTGCGGAAGTTTGTTTCGTTTTGGAAGTTTCGGAATTTAGTGAATTTTAGTGAGTTTTTGGTTACTTTAGTTTTTGGTTGCTTTCCGTGTATTGTTTAACAGTGCGCGTTAGCGGCTTTGCGCGTCGGCGGTGCGTCAATGATGTTAAATAATATAGATGACGCCTGTTCATACTGCGCGGCGTTTAAAAAATGTACTGCTTTACATTATTTGACATATGCAATTAAATGTGACAGATGATATAGAACGTATGATACGGAAAGAGATAGCAGTATTGCTATCATATACAATTGGTGTGCATCAGTTTCGGTGCACTTGTCTCATGCCTAACTCGTATTTGTATATGACATCATTGTGGTGCGCCTGTTGCGATTAAGAAAGACATTCTACAGGAGTTGTCTAAAGCCCACGAGGAACACTCGAAGCGGGTGGAAAGGTTGGAGCGAGAAGTCCTCACACTTCGCCAGAGCAAAAGCGAGAAGCTCCTCACGCTGCAACAGAGCGAAGAGCAGATGGGGCAATTGATGCAGCGGCTGAGGGCGGCTGAAATGAAGTGTGGTGAGATCGCTGTCTCCAATAGATTTGATGTAACGCACACACACATTCAAACGCACGCACACACGCACGCAAACGCGAAAACGCGGGGGGGGGGGGAGCTGTGTAGACTCCTACACAGCTGCCATCCGAGAACCTTTCTTCCCCAACGGTTATAAGTTCTACGAGCTAAATGGCCGGCCCATCGCCACTTCAGCTTACTAATCCTTTGAGTTATGTCGGTTTCTTGTCCTGCGGATGTCTTCGTTGCGACCTCTATCATGCAGAGAAATACCTTGCATAAATCGCTCATAGCTCGTTTAGCCACATAATGTATCGTAATAACTTATTAAAAATCGCCCATGCTCCCGGTGTTTCTAGACGACATCAACCTCCAGCTTTCGGTGGAGAAGCGAAAAGTATCTGAACTGGAGACCAGGTTGAAAGCTGCTGACCTTTCTGCCCATGTCGCTAAGACCGTAGAGCGACACCTTATGGACCATAATGTAAGAAGAATCGTCAAACATCATGCAGCTTAATTATCTTCTATGGCTTTAAAGAAGTTTATTTCTTATAAAAACTATAAAACTATTTGGTAAACTATAACAATTATAACTGTAATGTCACACTATTAAACAACTTGAAGTTGCAATGAAAATGCTAACGTGTCTAGTTATAAATGACTATTTGCTGAAAGAGTCTAAATAAGTCTATTGTTGATTTCAGTTGCATGCAAAGTGCGAAACATTATTGCCTCTGGTAAGTCGATTTGACTTTTAACTTAAGGCTTTGGAGAGTACTGTACTTTTCTCTCGTTGCTTTTACTAAAAAAATGTCATTGGATAATATTATGACTAATAAGGATAATATTATACTTGCAAATGGACTAATGCAATAAAATGAAAAACTGGAACAATCATTTGGGCATAATAATACTAAAGTAATAAATAACTCTGAAAGTTTGTATTACCATTGCGTCAAAATATTTATTAATCTTGTGTACGACATTTAGTTGTGAGTATGTCCACGGTTAATCTGAACTCGGGACAGTCTTTTTAGGTTAACATGTAAATGTATCGGCTTGGCGTGGTGGTAAAATTTAAATTTTTAGAAAGTAATTGTCTATTTGTTTTATTGTCTCCTTTGAACGGATATAAAAAAAGAATTGGCTTTTATCTCGTGAATATTGATTATTTGCTTTTAAAAAGGACACGTAGATAGAGCCGAGAGAAATACTACATTTTATGACATTTCGTATCGATATTTCTCTTTCCATTTTAGGATATTATGAAAGTTTTATTAATTTATATTTTATTTTTATCATAATGAAAGTAGTAATTATTGTTGTATTTTGTATTAATTATCTCGTTGAATGTGTTCAAAGTCTGACAAGCTACTATCTGCGGACTCATCGGACCAAAGGAGGACAAAGGTGACCCAAGAGCAGCCAAAGAACTCTGATGATTCTGGCTACATGGATACGTCTCTATTCGACGAGAGAAAGGTGGAGTTAGCTAAAAATTATAACTTTTATTGCGACTTCACTTAACAATTTGCTTTGTAACCATCGACTGTAGTTAGATTAAGAAACAATTGAATTTGATGTTTTTATTGGGCCTTTGTTTCTCTTTCCTTTCTAGTAGCATTCCTCTCTTCCTAATGATGTGATATTCCTAAAATGATTTAGGAACTGTGCCACATTTCGGCACCCTGGTTATATCGCTGAATTACATCACATCACATAGATTATTTACGGGGACCTTTGATCCATTCGCGTGTAAGTTATTCACGTGAAAAGTTGGCAAGCGAGCTGGCGGTTCACCTGATGTTAAGCGGTAACCGCCGCATATGGACATCTACGATGTGATGAACCTAACGGATTGCAGTTGCAACGCCAACTTTAAAAACAGCGAGACCCGCTTACCCTCACCATGAAACGCAAAAATAATAATACTTCTAAGGTCGTGTTACTCCCCCGACGATACTGCCAATTCTTGCAACAGCATGAGCTGATGCGTGGAAATACTACAGTTAAAAAATTACTGGCGCGAGTGATACACAGCAACTTTACTAAAATAAGCTTCTCTAAAAATGATTTATTTCTCCCTTCACAGAGTCCTGCCAAAGACGTTACTAAGGAATTGCGAGAGAAAATATTTGACCTTCAGTCGCAATTGAACTCATTGAAACGTCTAGCGGTGAGTGTGTTTCTTTATACTTCTAAAATAGTATGTTCTTTATTACTTTTTCTTGAAAACACGAGCAAGACCGTAATAGTATAGTTTTCCCGTAATATCCTCAGAGGGTCGTAACCCAGCTATTTCAAATAGCGGTATCGTTTTGTAAAAAGAAAGATATACTTAATTATAATGTAGTGAAGTTCAACGAAGAGATTGCTTACGTTCTAGTTATCAATTTGTTTTTGCAATAAACATTGCAGGCAGTTGACAAAGATATCGGGAAAAGAGTGTCGAACTTTGAACCATACGAGTTGGCAATCGAGGCTGATCAGGTCTCTATATTGAAGAGCATCACTGATTATAATTTGATGAGGAGCTCGCCGTTCGTCCCCGAGGTATGTTGTAAAGGGTTTTACAGGTTTTTTCATGAAAACAGAAGCATTATTAAATTATCTGTATCAAAGCAAATGAATATAAGTTGTTGATGTGATCAACTCTATCTAGCCATCAACAGCTTCTTGACTTTACTTTTTCTATTCATTCCATGTATAACTGACTTGTAGCTTGTGTTAATTTGTCCCAGATTAGATTTAATTTCCATTTATTGTTATTTCTATAAATTGTTCCGCAGCCAAATCGCACAAAGTCGGGAGAGGTTTTCGAAATTAAAAGGCCAGAATCGTTTATTCTTCAAGAGAATGGGCAAGATACTCTTGATGCCAAAATGTCTCATGTAACTGACACGTCTAATACATCTGAGACCGTAAAATCAAAATCCGATTTATTAGAGAGTAAAGGCATTTCGGATAAACCTGAAGAGTACGTATAGCCCTTTCCGATCTTTTTTAGTTAACGAAAGCAATAAACAAATGATTAGGCTTATGACCTGAATCTTCCTTGCTCTTGTATGTTTCGCGATAAATTAGATTGTACAATCTGATTGCTGTTTATTATAATGTTACTAGCTGACCCGGCAAACGTTGTTTTGCCATATAAATTATTTGTAGGTTAGAAAAAAATGTTTGGGGTGGACCACCCTTAACATTTAAAGGGATGAAAAATAGATATGGTCCGATTTTCAACCCTGGTCGATATGCACATAAAATTTCGATTGAACGAACGACACGAAAATCGGTCGAGCCGTTTCGGAGGAGTTTAATTACAAACACCGTTTATACTCTAAGTAATCTTTCATACTGAGTCTTTTTACGTATGTAACTTTTATCATATTATCGTATTTATACTAAACATTTTATTTATCCACGATTGGATATTGTTTTTAAATGTCCATTACTCGTTTTTTTTTATTAAGTTCAATGAACTGTGTTTGATTTAAATGATTGTGGTTTTTCACTTTTTAGGTTTCAAAAAGCCCGTAAAAAAGATGAAAAAATGTCTAAGAATGTTTCTTACGAAGATGTTATCTTAAATAGTGAAAAGAGCATCGTTAAAGGCACTTTAGGTGAATGTGGCGAATTTCATACTCTATTGCGACACGCGTCTTCCGATGAAAAGCATAATGCCAAAATTAACGAATTGAGTTCTACCAATAATGTTATAGAAAAGATATCGACCAAACGAGGCAACAGAGATGAACATGTGAAATTAAGCGATGATTACCACATACGGGGGAGTCATACAAATATAACTGACAAGCGTCAAACCGCTGAAAAGAAATTCGAATGTGATATAACTCCAACCGATGATAAAGATCTCAATAGTTCTAGAGAATACGCTAGTAGAAGCTGTTCTAAAGAAGAGAATAAAGGTATCATGAATAAAGAACAAGTTGCTAAAGGCAGCCGCATTTATAGTGCAGAAACAAAAACAGCGTTTAGATCAAAATCCGTGCCGGAAAAAGCTCTAATTGAAATTATTAAGTCCGACTCGAGTACCGACAAAATACCTAAAAGCCCAAACGTAGCCTCATTTACGCATAAATTGGAAGAATTTGGAGATATTAAAGTGTTGAAAGAAGTGAAGCCCAGTTCGGAAATCGATTTAACAGAATTTGAAAAGGTGGAAAAGGGTAAAAAGAAAAAATCGATCGTTGGTCATGGATTAACGACAGAAAAAAATCAAAGAAGGGGGAAGTCTGATTTAAATGGACCGGCAGAAAAGATTGTAGAGCAAGACCATGAAATAGTGGGTACGTACCAATAACTTTTTCTGTTTTATATGGACTCCGCCAAATTTTTCCACATTTTTAATTTTCCTGGTAACAATTTTGGTAAAAAATAAAGCGTGCATTTCGAAAAGCATCAAATAAAGTCCGCACGACAAATCTACCGTTTTACTAATGAAAACCAGATGTGTTGTTGATACGAATTAAAAATAGTTTCCTTAGCATTAAAGAAATCGACCTAAGAGTCAATCCTGACAGCGGCAAAACAACAAACGACAGTTTTATCGACACATTTTAAGAATGAAAGCATTTTAACATTGTGTTTTTTTGTGTTACAAGTCCGGGACAGTATAATATAGTTGTGCATCGTTATCACCGGTAAAGCGAATAAGCACACATTGTTAAGTGTTTAGGTTATACAAATACACTTGGCGAATTTGGTTAAAATGGTTATACAAATACAGAGTGTGTGTAGATTTTTGGAAGGGATAGCAAGCGTACAGGCTGTCCACCTGATGGTTAACTATCTACCCTACGGATTACCCTCGGACATTCTCAGGAAAGATTGCTTTTGTAATACAGAACGAGCCCTCTTCCATACCTTTTCGACCTTTACTATTAAAGGTCGTTTCGACATCAAATCGATCCGGTATAAGACAGTATAGTGATCTTATCCCTGGTAAAGCGTACAAAAATGCGTACAATTAAGACGCTGGTATATATTTTTTTCTGTTTATTTGGAAGGGATGGCAAGCGAACAAGCTCCGTACACGCGCACACTATTTAGTGGTTATTATATACATTTTCTCTTTATTTGGAAAGGATGGCAAGCGTAAAGGCTGTTCACCTGAGTTAGCTACCTACCCCAAGGGCATCCCCAGGACATACACAGGGAGGGCTGCCTTTGGGGTCCGGACGCCCCCTCTTTCCGACCTTCACGATTAAAGGTCGTCTCGACATCAGACAGTTGCCAGTGCCGCGCGCGCGTATGCCCTTGCCCGCTGGTGCGGCGGCGGGAAGTTAACGTGTTCCGCACGTGCAGCGGCACCGCCCGCTTCGAGACGGTCACCACCGCCGTCCGCCCCTTCGAGCGGTGCGCGTGCTGCTCCAAAAACGTGCAGCGCGATCGAAATGTTGCCCGCGGTATATTCATGCTTTTGTTTTTTTTTGTTTTATTAGTGTTATTTTTATTGATTTTTTTTTAAATATGCATTAGTTTTAAACTTGTTTAAATTCCATATTGATCTTTTGTTTGTTTCGTTTCGTTTGCTTTAAAGAGATGTTTAGAAATTCTGTTCGAATTTATCTCGCTTTTGTAGGACGGTTAGACGGTGGTACTAGCTACGTTATAGGGCTTCTGTTCTGAAAACTACTTGTTGGTCATAATATTCGAAAAAAATACGATTTTTTTTTATGTGATTGAGACGTGAATATATTTTATTTACTCTGTTTCTTCGCATGTGAAGTCGCATAATCCGGAGTAATATTTTTCTAGGTTTTCTTTTGTTAATTGGCAGCGGTGAAAATTTCTTCGACAGTTTTATCTCAATATCTTTTGTATAGTTGAAATATTCTTGAAGACTCCGTTGTGCAGGTTCCAGGACGCCGCAGCGTCGCTCCTCATCAGGCGGTGGTACCTACGTAGTGAGGGGTGCCCCTTCTCCCGTTCCTGCTGACACGGACGGAGAGATCTCCGGACTCACCGACCTACCGGACGAGAGAGACGGTAAGAGACTACTCTTGGCAATCAGATATTGCAGACGATTGGCAGACATTTTTAGTTCATAAATGATGGTACTTTTAAAAATTTAAAAGTTTGCTTGTCAGTTTGTTAATTTCCGAAGCAATGAAGCAAGGTATCGATATAAATTTTTGGTATTCACAAAGCTAAGTCAGAAAATATACATGATGACTGTAATTAATTGTCATTCATGGCTGTTAGTTTAGGCCCACTGATTATCTTCATAATAGTAACTTACAAGTGTAGAAGTTGCACAACGAACAATTCTAAAGATTTGTACTTTCAAACCATATCTGTATGCCACAAATCTTTTATACAATCACTGCGAGGTACTCTCCGTTAGGCAACTATTTATATTAATAGATAGTTTGAAAGAAGCACCTGGAAGCTCCAACCGACAACATGAGATTGAGTAAAAGGAGAAAAGATATTCTCTCTTAATATAATATAATCTTTATAATAACTGTAGTAAATATATAACAATTAATACTTTGAACAAATATGACTGTAAACAAACATTAACTAAATACCTACATACACCTAATTATGAAGAAACTAAAGCTCTCATTACTACACATTAAGCGCACACACACACACACACACACACACACACACACACACACACACACACACACACACACACACACACACACACACACACACACACACACACACACAACCTACACCTATACACAAATTTCTTTTATTAATATTTTTTCTTTTATCACGTTCTTTCTGATGCTACCGTCTAATACAGTGCATCTTTTATTGATATGGGGAACGGCGTCTTATTAAACTTCAACTTATTAAACTTAACCACTATGAACTAATAAATAGTTTAGTTAGAAGAAACTTTAAAATAGTACCGTGTGTAAGGGACAGCCTGCTTTTCAATTATAGTTTATTAGGTTATAAATCCTTTCCATCTTTAATGCGGCTATACGACCCAAAAATGAGTCATCTCTTGTCAAATGAGTTATAGAGTTGTGGCCCCAAGGTGGTGCCCTGTGAAACGCTCATAAAGAGCTTTAGATTATATCTTAATGGAATTGTTAGTAACATTGCACGACACAGTTTTAGGTAGGCATTTAAAATCAGAGAATCAGAATATTAATTTCATGATATTTTTGTTAACGAATTTTATTTACAATGTTACCTTTATAGTTGTAACTATAGGTGTATATATTACATCCAATGACTTTTTTGTGAAAAAATGTATTCAAATTTAACAAAAGCTATTTGAAGATGAGTTAAGTGCGCTCTCTATAAATTCACCATCTAAAAAGGCCATCTAGTACACTGACAATTAAACAAGCCTGGAAACTTTACTTTTCATTGTTTTTATTTTTTATTTTCGAACAATAGCAATCTAAGGGTAAGATACTGTAGCCTGTAACGCAGTTGTGAACTATCACACGCTACAGGGCTGCTAATAATTATTTTTTTAAACCGATACCCTTATTATCAGTATTATTTTTGAACAGCACGTTTTTGTTTTTGAGAACAGAAAGCCCCAGGAACATTCTATCGCCCGGCGAGGAAAGACCAACTTACACGGAGACCCACACGTCGACTACTGACATAACGCTCAGCGAGGGCGAATTGCCGGTCTCATGTGGAGGTCAGATTGTTTATTATGTTTTTGCTAACCGATCTCAGTCAGCTATGACGACAGCAGTGGCCGTGAATCACATTTAATTGCCATTAGTTAACATTCTTAAAACTACTGAATACAAATCTGGGCGTGACCCGAATTCTTTATTACATTTCTTTAAATATCTTATACATTGATGAGTTTAATTATAAACATTTATCGTAGATATTCTAACAATGTATTAAAAGTAGATTAAATCTCTGAGTCGGAAATAATTAAATACAAGTAAGTCGGACTGGTCGAAATTATGATGATGATGACAAGTCACGTTATTATAGTTTAGATATAGGAATTCAGCGATTGCTATGTACCGTTGTTGAAAGAAAATAAAGCAGGGATGTGTTAAATTTCAGCAAGAAAACCGCTATCACCGGGCGAGAGGAAATGGAAGAATAGCAGTGGAGAAATATCGTAAGCAACGCTTGTAGTCAAAACTTAGCCGTCTATTGCATCTATTACACGTCTATTACATTAGCATTTTCCTATGTTATGATCGCAAGTATTGAGTATACTTGCGATCATAACATAGAAATAGCAGTATCCCTAAAGTAATATCAAAGCACATTCCACTAGGGGGTCATTACGTACTCAGAAGGGCTAACCTGTCTGTTCGAATTCCCGCAGCCTCGAAAAAGAAAATTTTGACAAAATACCAACACATTTTATATCGTTTCATTGATTGTAGTACCATGGTATTTATGGTGCTGCTGCCAAACCTAGTTTGGAGTAACACAGTAAGGGGACTCAAAACCAAGCTATGCAACACGCCTACTCGATGATCTTAAAGGCGTTTGGAACATTATTAAACTTTTTGTTCCACATGTGGCTATATTATACCTTTTTAAAGAATATTAGTTTTTATGCTGTTATTCTCAGCACTTCGGGGCGAAAAGTTTTCGTCCATTTTTCTTCAGCTTTTTACATCGTACTTTACACTGATTAAGTCCCTGACAGTATGTCATCTTACGGTAACTTCCGTATGGCTATGCCGAACTGTCTATACGATTATAAATGCCTGGTCAAACCCAGGCCGGCGATCACCTCATCGCGGAGGATGGAGGAGGCTCTCCAAGCGGTGGGCGAGGAGTTGGCCCGCTGCAGACAGATGCTGCAGCGCCAGAGACCCCAGGTGAACCCCCAAACCTTCCCCGCGTCCATAGCCCTTGTAGACCAGAAAGACTGTGGCTAGGTTCTATTTTCTGCTCGTGCCATGTCTATAAAGGGTGATTTTTCGAAGAAGTACATACTTTGACATAATGTTAATTGAGCATTCCGTAATTCAAAAATAATGTTAATATTTTATTTTAACAAGAACTGACCAGAACTAACCATATCAATTCAAATTTTTTTTTGTTTATCCCGTTAAGAGTGGTCATCCTATTTAGATTGAAAAAAAATAAAAATAATTTTTGAAAAAAAAAATGAGGTCACAAGTACGTACCAGATTCAGATTTAGAATCAAATTCTGCATATGCTCTGTTAATATGTCCGTCGTCTATATAATCAACCTGTATATTTAGCCGGACGTTAATAAATGACGTAATGTTACATTTTCTTTCATGTTGTGACTAACGGCAGGTGTCAATATTCTATCAACAGATAGATTTGGTTGCAAGCGATAGGTATTTGCCCATTACCTCCATAATACTAACGCCAAAATTCTGTCTCCAGTAACCAAATCTATCTGTAGATTGAATATTGAAACCGGCTGTTAGACATTATTAAAAAAATTATGAAACGTTTTTGTTCCCTTTTTAAATGTTAACGTACCTTTTTTCATATCGAGCGGCTATACGTATTGGAAATCGTTTGAAATGTAGCGGATTAAAACGTGTACTAATGTAAATGTGTACTAAATCAATTGAAACGTGTACTACTGTAAATATTAGATAAATAAATTATTTCGCTGTATCGTTGCTTGTATTATTATCTTATATTAACCTAGATCCTATTATTACATCATGCATGTAAAAGTCGAAATGTGAGGTAATCCATTTTTATTGGCAAAGTGATTTAACTGAGGATACATTGTTATGACATTATTATAACTTTATATTATGATAGTTATTTTACTCAGTAAATTGTCATATTTGTCGCTAGATACAAAAATTATTAAACTTTGCTTAATTACTTAGGTTTGGTCACACTAGTGTACCATTAGGTAATAATTTAATAATAATGTTGAAAAAAAAAAACTTACCATTAATCATTATGTATCAGAATCGTATCTATCAATACTTTTTGCATAAGTCTTGTTGATCACGTAAGAAGGACTAAGTATACGGCATCAGGCCTAACAAGAAAATTTCTTTTTAGGCCTACACACTACTTATTTTCTATTTGGTTTCGATCAGTTCCCTGATTGTTCTTTCTTTTTGGTCTACAAAACTGATTACAACCTTTACACAAGTTCATATAACCTTCCAATTGTTCCAAACGCAGCTTCTATATGTAGACACAACATGCATTGAAATCGAACAGTAAAAAGGACACTAATGCAACAAATACTGCTGGACAATATCTATCTAATATATACCTTCACTGTGGTAGGACCACGCAGCAGTAGTCGCTGTTGCACGAATGGGCAGGTCCATCCGGGTTAGTACCACGACCTCACAGAAGACGAGCGTCAAGTAGAAGTACACTTCTGCGTTTCGTCTGGTGAGTGAGGTAGCCGGGGCCCACTTTTATTAAAAGGTGGCAACTCAACTGCAACCCTACGGGTGTTGTAAATGTCCATGGGCGTTATCGCTTAACATCAGGTGAATCGCCAGTTCGTTTGCAATTTATCACATAAAAAAAATTACGTATGATGTATCTCTGGGGTCAAAATAATTAAACCCCAGGCAAATATAATTATCTAAATAGGCTGATAAATTAATAGTTCTGAGAGAACAAAGATAAAAAATATAACCGAATTTAGAAGCTCATCCATTTTTGAAATCTGTTGAAAGACCCACTCTTACAGGCGTCTTCCCTGATCCTTATCTTGTATCTTGTATTAATTGATGTTAACGCTTCCAGTCCAGAGACTATTAAAGCTTCATCGAACGCTGAACCGGAGGGCTAGCCAGAACCCACGGGTTTGAGGCCCTCCACAGGGAGTAGGGGCGCGCATGGGCTCATGCGTACGTTAGCTGGCTATCGTTTAACCTTAGTAATCATGTGTGATAGCTATGTGAGATAGCTATCGCTATTCGCATACCTTACGTTTAGGTCATGCGAGCCGTTATAGCTCAGCGTAAGGCGAACGTTTTTAATTAATTATGCTTGAGGAATCTGTGTTTAAATCCCGGTGCCAGCACGACTAAAATTGTTAATTTTAAGTGCTGTTTTATGACATGCTCAGCGGTGAAGAATAATATCGTCAGTAAACCTGCACATTTTCGAAATTATAACAAAAAAAATTCGAATATATGTGAAGTCCGCCAATCGGCAGTGGTGTCGCGTGGTGGACTACTATATTAATAGCCTCTGTTCAGAGGAGGACTCAGCCCACGATCAGGACATGTCCCATAAAAAATGGACTCCGGTTACCTCATTCACCAGACGAAACGCAGAAAGCTTCACGCCGGACTTCTGTGAGGTCGTGATACTTGCGTGGGACCTGCCCATTCGTGCAACAGCCGAAGCTGTTGCGTGGCCCTAAGTCAGTTGAATTTTCGTATATATGATTTGATTTTTCATATAAATAAAAATATACACCATTACTTACGTTAGGTCAAAGTGAACACGGCCTTTCCGTTGCACAGCAGGCGAGCTCGAAGGGTGTGTCGCCAATGACGGTCTCCGCGTCGGACACGATAGCGCTGAGCAAGGTCGTGAGTCAGGCGCGAATTGTGCCCGAACACGCGCACTCCTGCCGTTTCACCTTCCACGTGGGCACCCTGGTGTTGTCCGATCAGGTGTGCATATCAGCCCGGTGTTGTAGACTTCCCCCGAAGTTGTAGCTTCATACAGATGTAGAAGGTTTAAATGCATATTTGAATTTTCACGTGTTGCAAATGTCCATTGGCGGCGGTCATCACTTAACATCAGGTGAATCGCCAGCTCGCTCGCCATCTTGTTGCTTAAAAAAACGAAGTCCAGCTTGGCCGATGACAGCTTGGGAATTTGGAGTCGGGTGATGAGAAGTATGCTCAGTCCGAAGTAAATTCCGGGCAATTTACACGGAGAACTTAAATTCAGAAAACTCACTCAGCCCATAGGGGCCAGAGAAAAAGGTTTTCTTTTCTTACTTTTTAAGTATCACAATGCATCTGAGACCATAGCGGCCTCACAGAAAACCCATGTGTATTTTATACACCTTATAGCCGTAGTAATAATATTCGAGTAAAATGAAATAAATCAACATTTGCGGTGTGTTCGATTCTTTTTAATTGGTTGATTGAAAATTATTCTTTATTGTACAAAAAGTTTGCACAAAGGTGAAATTATAAAAAGCATTTTCTTCCGGTTAACCTTTTGTGATTGAGAGCAACTTACGGATAGTAATGCTAAATTGGCATCCAAGATTTTAAATGTCAATCACACAAAGTACAGGAAAAATAACTGCCTACTTGACATAGATGTGAAAATACATAAAAATACTTCAACTTAAATAATTATGTCCTCGTGCCGTTAGTCTCTGTACAAAAGTGCTCCGTTTCAAAGGCGGTGGCATACTCGCGTGGCAAGTCCCTACTCCTCGCGTGGCGGTTCTACGACCAGCAGCAATCCATGGTGCGAATGAGTCCAGGGCGAGTCCTGCATTTCGACTTCACAATGGAGTACCGCCTCCCCCTCACCGAACACTTCCTCGACTACCTGAGGAGAGTAAGTCTAGGAGAGCTTTATTGTCTGATACTGCCACTCGTAGTCTATGGCTATTATAGTTTGGGTTTTTACAAGCTCTTGAATGATAGACATTACTCGTATTTACGCATGTAATGTACGCATGTATGACTCGATGGCGCCGTTTTTAAGCTATTGGCTTCGGCGTCGAGGGTCGTGGGCTCGATTCCCACACGGATCTGGTTGTTTGTTTCCCAAGGAGGGTTGACGTCAGGCAGGCGGCTGGTCGTAAAAATCATAGCCAAAACCGCTTATAACATGTTATGGAGCGAGATAACGTAAAAGTGGTATAAATAAGTTAATGGGACTGAGGAGCTGTGGTGACAAGACCTGCCACTTATCGGCCAATTTTGTTGCTGCACCAAAATTGGCTTATCGGTTGTTAGTCTAATATTTTACATAAATACGTGACAAGACAACTCGAGTATATTCCCACCTATTTGGCAGCAATACGTATGCTGCATTGAGCCAACTCATCAGTGAAATGGGCCATAAACCACTCTCCTTTGTAGTTGAACTCTTGAAAAATTTACTGTTATTAGTAAAAGTCTATCAAAACAAAATGTATGGTAAATTATTTGCTAATTTCATTGGCAAAGATCACAAAGAACATTGATTAGCTATGTATATGTGCGGGGTAATGAATAGATCGAATAACAAATTGGACAGTGAAAGCTAACATACATATAAAAATGTATATAGAAAAACGAGTATTGGTTGGATAAAAAAATTAATTTAAAAGCTGCTCCGAATGTCAAATAGAATATCAAATAAGTATCCAATTTTCAATAGGGTTATAAAAAACTAGAAAATAAAAATTTCCTCAACGGGAGTTGCCATGAGTAAAGGATTTATCAAAATTCCAAGCAAATATTGAAGGTCTGTCCCTCCTGTCTTTCCTTCAGTTTTGGTCTTCTTTCTATTCATTATTGAATGAAAATAATTAGTATGTAGTTACTTTTTAACTGAATGCGTAGCGAGCTTTCAATAATAAAGATTATTGTAGGAAGTGATGCCTATAACGATCTACGAGATGCAACGGCCCGAAGAGGCGCTGGCAAGTTGCTCTATGCCTCTGTGCGGGGCCCTGGGCCGTGCCAACCGACGGGTGTACCTGTCGCTAACTTTAGTAAGTGTTAGTTATTATCAAAATTTGTAGAAAGAGTACGAAAAGATTGCCGCCGCTGTGGGAATCGAACCCTGCCTGACGCTTTAGCCACAAACCTAAACGGCTAATTGCCACACCGACGAAAATCTTGACGTTTTGCCGATTGCTTCAAATGCTGTTTATAAATAAATATTGTTTAATCTTAAGTGCAAAGATTATCACCATAAAAAATAAATTTCTAAAAAGTGCTAGTTAGTTAAAGTAAAGTAATAGCCTATATAGTGTCCCATTGCTGGACAAAGGCCTCCTCTACCGAAGGTATCAGACCACCACGCGACCCCACTGTGCATTGCCAGTGCCATCTTCTAAATATTACACTTTTCGTTATTATTTCGAAAATATGGAGGTTTCCTCACGATAACCGCTGAGCACGTGATAAGTAAGCACTTAAAATTAGCAATTTCATTGGTTTCGGCACCGGGATTTGAATTCAGGTTGATCGAAGCGAAAAAAGAGCTATCACAGCTCTGGTACTACTAAAAGTAAGAGCTAAGATTTAGTTAAAGTAGTTAGTTTTAGTTTAGGTAATAGAAAATTATGAAGAGTATATTTTAGTGTCTTCGGATCATGCAGCAGTTTCTACTTCTGCAAGAAGTGATCGGCTTTCTAGTAAAATAAAGTAGCTATTAGAGTTATGATTTTTGTCCCTTAGTTGAAAACATCATAGGTATCCTTCTTAAAGGTGACAAGTCAATTGTATGTCACAGTTGTACATTCAAAAATCAAAGTACAACAATATAAAACAAGACAGGATTCATGGTGATCTGATATATTTGTCGGCGCGTCGGTATCAATTATAATTTTTAATATGACAACTAATGACAGCTAACTGTCATTGGCGTAACACAGAGCGCTGGCGGGTCATTATACGTTGAGAAGCGGTAGTCGCGCCACGTGTTCTGTGGAACGCCGTATTAGTTCCTTCGTACTGTTTTCTCATTTAGTTGGGTTAATCGTGATTAAGAGAAATATCAAAGTGATTGTTAATAAATGAGGTAATCAAATAAGTGTTCGTAACGTTATAATTTAATTGAGTGTAAAGTTGCAGATTAACTGTGTAATTATGGAATAAATCATTGTTAAGAACGTGGTCTGTAATTATAGCTCCTCGCCCGTTAATCCACGCTTACCCTATATATAATGATGGAGAGGACTATTGCGCCTGTTATGAGTCATGTTCCTATATATTAATTGTGGGCGATGATTTAGTTTATTATGTTTGTTGGCACCATACCCGTAACCAACAAACACATTACTGTGGATTAATGTACTGTGTACGCTTAACACCTTCTGCCGTTGCACGAATGGGCAGGCTCGTCTGGGGGAGTACCACGGCCTCACGGAATACCGGCGTGAAGTGGAAGTATAATACTTTTGCGTTTCGTCCAGTGACTGAGGTAACCGGGGCCCACTTGTTTAAAGGTTGTCCACGCATTAGCATCGTGTGTTGCAGATGTCCATCGGTGACGGTATTCATTTAACATCAGGTGAATCGCCTGCTCGCTTGACAACATTTCACATTTAAAAAAATGAGGGGGTATGGACGTGGTGTAAGTGGAAATCCTCAATAGTTGGATAACAATGTGGGGGCAGGCGTCGATTATATTTCCGATAAACTGCCTAAAACAAACGCACATGTTTACATTTTTGAGTTTTGTTTGCGTTATATAGTGAAGCTTTCCATTGCAACTGTAGAACCACCTGGGATGTGAATGTCTATGGTTGCTGTATCCGCTTATGTCTATGGTTGCTGTATCCGCTTATGTCTATGGTTGCTGTATCCGCTTCCTTGTATGCCATAGACTCGTAAAACAGTGCAACTGTGGGTCGCGCAGCTTCTATAGGGGAGTTGCAAAAGGTTGGGAAATCTACTGCAGTAAAAATAACATTAAAGTTTAAAATACTTATTAAGAAAAATGTAGCTAAATGGCATAAACGTTTGTATCAAATTAACAAAAAAAAAAACTTATGAGAACTCTCAATGCGAAACTGGCGCTGGTTTTTCATTAACCAATTTCTCCCATCGTGGATCCGTTTTTGTTACATTGAGGATTAAATCAACGGGTATGGTGGTCGCGGAATATTTGTTCACACTAAAGGGACCGTGTCAATGAAAAACGTTGAAAAACCCTGTCGTAAAATATGAAGCGGAATGCAGACGATCAGAACTCCAGGTGGCTGGCTCCGAAATGCTCGGGAGCCGTCACGACTTCGACGAGCTGGACTCGGGCGATGAGGTGGGTGTGCTCGACGTGTGGTGCCGGCTCAAGGTCGGACCCGGCCTCCTGGGAACCGTACGGAGGGCGTCCCACCAGGTCTGTGTTTCGTTCTTTTATTGTCACTCATGTCTTGAACCCTGATAAGGTAATTTTTATACCAAAGATTGCTAGACTTGTGGTCATGAATACATTAAAATAACATTAAGGGTGACCTCAAGTTATTTAAACTGAGACAGTTTTTAGACTAAGGTATACAGGGTATCGAGACAACCGCGACAATAAATGATCACACGTCTAACGCTACTTGCCAATAATCATAAAAATATAAGCGTTAAAAAATCCAGAATTAAAAAAAATTCAAACAAAATAATTAAATAAAATAGAAACAAAATTTGTAACATCCTATACAACTACAACTTACTGATTCATACATTCAGAGACTTTTTCATTCGTTGCCACAGCGACGTATTACAAATCTCACCTAACAGTTTTATCTCTTTAATTAATTCAACCCATTTATATGCTTTGTGACCTTTACAAATGAACTTTACTTTACAGTTTTATACGTAAGGGTGTTCTAAAATAGTTTGTTTTGAAAAATTTAATAACTCGGTAAATATTGATGTTTAAAGAATGTAAATGTTTTAAATAATTTTAAATGTTATCCGCTGTGTGTTCATTTATTGTCGCGTTTGTAACAACACGCTGTATATTCAAATTTTTAAATATTTCCGGACTTCGGTGTAATCTCGGCTCATCTCCAGTACAATTTTTACACTTGATAAACCTGTTGCATCATTCTATGAACCTTTCAGGTTTGTATGAACCACTTTTGCACTTTATGTAGCATTATCGCCTGCTGTCAAATCGAACGTTTACGACAATATGCTAGATAAAGACCCAAATTTGAAACGCTTGGCTGCGTTTTTCCAACTTACCCTTAAGGGGCTTTCCTATAAAATATTTACAAGAGTGTCACGACATTTGTGTGGCGGAACCGTGGAATACTGAGGTGAGCCCTGCAGTGAATGTGCAGGCTCGTGGGGTGAAATATCACAGTCTTGCAGGAAGGGTGTGAAATGAAAGTATTACATTTTCGCATTTCGTCTGGTAATTTTGGTGACCGTTGCCCGCCGTCTCAAACATTAACACCGCACCAGCAACGCTTCAGGTGTTCTTGATATCCGATGAACCGCCTACCAAAACATATAGCTTTTTTTTTTTTTTTTTTTTTTTTTTTTTTTTTATGTGAAGATTAAATAAATAAATAAATATTTTAGGACACATTTTTACACAACATTTTCTAGTCCCAAACTAAGCAACGCTTGTGTACTACGGGTACTATGGGTACTAGAAAACTGATAAACATACTTAAACATATTTTTCTTTTGTAAATAAATACATATTATAGATATATAAAACACCCAGACACTAGAAAAACACTATGTTCATCACACAATATTTTTCTTGTAGTGGGGATCGAACCCACACCCTCGGGCGCAGGAGGCAGGTACACTACCCACTACGCCATTCGGGTTGTCAAATATTTGATATAAAAAAAAACGGCCCATGACTTTTGTAGTCGCCTGACGTCACGGCTACACCATCGTTGACCAACGGTCGGCCCTGCGGTTCTAGCCTGACACAAGAAAATTCACCGAGGCGAGAGATAGAGCAAAAGGTATCGGCTTGTTCCCCATAACATGTTAATTGTTAATGATAATTTTACTTTGCCTCTTTCCATGTTAGTTATAGTCTATTAATGTATTTGGTTATCATTTATGCAGATATTACCCGAGCCTTGCTTCTTTTACCATCAATTGAGATGAAAAAAAATGCTAAGAAATAGTTTTTAGTGCAAAAGCTTGCGCGTTTGGATGCATGCTTGTAAACACGTCTCCGTGGTTCAACCCGTCCGTTTTAAGAAGTTGTCAAAGTATTGATTTATTGTCGATTAAGGCGTTGTATGCAGTGAATTTTTAACAATTTGGGTGGTGAAGTATGAGGAAGCGGAGGAGGGGTAACGCCGCTCAGCGGCGCGCAGCGCGCGAGTTTCGTCAACGCGCCGCTAGACCAAGTCATTGTGTGTGTATAGTGATGGGCCGTAGGACACTATCGATAGTATCATGAAAGACTTTCGAAAATGTACACAGATGATATAATATCTTTTATAGACCATGATTGTATTTTACTTTTATATTATAACAGGAATAATAATAAACAAACAAATATAAAGTATGAGAAAGCAATAAGTCATAGGCTCTCTTCTTTAGACATTGGGGTAATTACGAGGTGGGGACTCAGTAGCGTTACCCAAATACAGATCAAGCTAATACGTCTGTCGATCTCTTTGCATAACTTACCTAGGACTAGTTGGATTGACGTTTCATAAGAACGCGCAAGCGTCTATGTGGATAAAGATATTTTATTATTTTATTATTATTATTATTGTCCATTCGGGATAGACGTAGTCTCTAACGAAGCACGACTCCCTATCAGATCTTCACTCTATCTAGTGGTAAATCTAGGTAATCGTCCTGTGGTCGTCGCTTCGTAGCAGTATGTGGAGGAGGCCTATATACACAAACGGGGTGAAATGATGATGATGATGATTTAGTCTCTAACTAGAAGTAGTTAGAGACTAAATCACCACGTTTCGGACAGGATGACGGGGTTGAATGACTTCCGTCATGTCCGAATTCGTACGCTGTCCCACAAATCGAGAGCTACCGACATCGAATGTAGATGCTTCTGATCTAGCCGTAATAAAAATATGACACAAAGAGTTTTTACGATATATAATTTTGCAAATGGCAGATCGTCGTAAGTTCGGCTCAAGATCTAAGACGTAAGATAGCACATGAGATCCAATCGCCCAGCAAAATGCGTGTACTACTAGTAAGTATAAACGAAACGTCAACAAATTAAACTAATTTTAACTTGGCCACTTTACGAATGAATTACCATAACAGCTGCAAGTGTTTGATACGTCACGAAATCAGTACAGATTTTGTTTTGTTTGTTTCCTTATATTATATCGGGTAATTTAGTTACGGCCTTATTTATATGTTATATATAAATTCTAAATGTAATAAAAATAAATTGAAACAAATTGTTATATTTGTTTTTTATTGACTGATAATTTAGATTTTGCTTGCTGCCACAGTTAAAGTTTCACGATAGAAAAGGTACGGAATTGCTGCTTTCAAAAATTATAGTGCCAAGTTATCACAATTCAGTGTGTTTTAGTACACCGCTGGACATAGACTGATAGGACAGTACCAAGCGATTCTCTAACCAAGGATTTGAATTTTGACGTTACTTAACAAGCCAAATTCTATTTTCTATAATAATGTTATTGTTACGGTAAATCGATACCGTTAATAATATTAAAATTATAATTTATATCGGATACTGCAATTTTACTTAGTTACTTATTCATTTTATCACAATATACGGCATCACCGAATTTTAATACATATAGCAATACAAGAAAAATGCAAGCCCAGCTCTGTAAAAATTTATGATGAAGACGGTAATTCTCAAATGATATCCCCATATAACTAACGGTATAGGATACAGGAAGATTCATATATCCTATACCGTTAGTTATAGATATATGTATTCTACGTTTACCATACGCAGGATTGTAGATTAATGTTCGTTGTAAATCAGAAATCTTGATAAAAAGCCATCACTCCCCTTCGTGCGAATTTTCATTGCATGATGACTATATTCTCCCTATAGTTTATGTGCCAACAAAAATCTCATGGACATATTTACGTCTATTTCAGAGAAATTTATCCGAAACGAACTCCATGTACAATATATTTAAAAGCAATAAGCGCAGATCTAGTGAGTAATTGTAATAAGTTATTCTAGATCTATGCATAAAAATATTTATGCATCTATATAATGTTACGTTAGTATCTTGGAATTTAAAATGATGAGTAAAATTTTGAATTTATTAATTTTATTTTGATATTACTTATTAATCATTACTTACTTGTCTGTCACCCAGTTTCCGAAAGCGCAATCAATTTTAATTTACGATAAATCTCTTGTCAATCGTTGTTTAACATGATCTGAGTTGCTAGAACGTCTTAAACGACGTTGATTTTCATAATAATTTCTTGTATTTACGCGATTACACATTATAAATGAAACTAATTTTACGGATTTATCGATAAATCCGTAAAATTAGTTTCATTTATGACGTTGATTTTGATTTGTAATTAATCACTGATTAACGGACAATCAACAGAAAATCGAGTTTCTGAAAGCGTTTTTCGGTGGTCAACGAGCTGTCAAAAGTTTTATTAAGTAATCTGTCAATTTGGACGATCAATCGTTGGTTAAAAATGTTATTTATCAAAAATCTTAGTTTTTATTAAAAATAAACATAATTCCCTAATACGTTGTTAGGACATTCATGTGTTCTATTACCTATTTATTATTTATTATTATTATTATGCGAACATATCATGTGATAAGAAAAAATACAAAATGCAATTCAAAAGTTAATAAATAATATGGATTCTTTGTTTTCATAATACTTACTTGTTTATTATGGATAAAAGTTCATTTTTTTCACGTTCTGTAAAGTTTTTTTTTGATATTTTGCATGTATTTATATAAATTAAATTTTATTATAGCTCGGATTTTTACGTTGGCAATCACACGGTGACAGGACTGGATAGTGACGTTAATTTAAGTTTTGTTTAAAAAGGGACAGCTATACAATAGAAAGAGTTAGTTGAAGTAAATCATTCATTTCATTCATTATCATTGGTTATACAGTGATTAGCTAATTTTTCTTGAACAAGCCTTCCAGAAACCCAAGGCTGTTTAACAAGAGATTAACATCTGATCATTTTTGACATAGTGTTATGTGATTGCTGCTTTGATTGGCCTTTCGGAAACTGGGCATGTATCTGTTGTGGGTTAATCAACATATTATATGTAATTGTTTTGTTCACAGTTAGACGAATGTAAATATTGCAATTGCAACAGTTTTTCTTCTGACTTTATTTCCAAAATATAGTATATATTCCCATAAAGTTGGTTGTATTTAAAATATTTCCCATTTTACTTAGGGATAATGTAGCTTTTAATTTGAATCAATGTGGTTTCAGAGACTTTGTCAAACTAACAAAATATTTCCCCTCTTCGTAATATTACTACATCGATTTAGGTTCGCCAAAATTATCACATAACGGACACAAGAAGTCCGTTAAAATCGAACCAGAGTGGAACCAGCAACTTTTGGAGGCTCATCGGAGAGTGAGTACAATACCAATGTCATATGTGCTTGTCCCAAGGACTTAATCAGACGGTTGGTAACGAATCAGCAGACCCTAGCGTCTCTTAGATGTCATCAGTTAAACTGCCTACACACTTGCCGCCTTCTCACGTGAAAAGTTCAATAGAACAAACCCTAATCCACGCTGCCAGTCTATAGATTTTTTTTGCCAGGAAGTGGCAACCGAGGTGGCGGTTCACCTGATGTTAAGTGATAACCGCCACCCGTGGACATTTGCAACACCCGTAAGGTTGCAGATGCGTTACGACCTTTTAATAAATTGGGCTCCGACTACCTCACTCACCAGACGTAAGGCAGAACTACGACACTAACACATCACGTCGGTCTTCTGTGAGGTCGTGGTACTTAATCGGACGGACCTGCCCATTCGTGCAACAGCCGAAGCTGTTGCGTGGTCCCACCACAGTTTATAGTTGGCACCTAAAAAAATGAGCAGTTGCCCAAAAATTCGTCACAAACGTGATGCAGTATTTTTTGAAGGTATAAACCTTAAAAACGAATCTATCAATTGTATAAGAGTCAAAATTTCAATCACCCAAAGACACTTAACTTTATGATTTCTTATATTCTCGGGAACACTACACGTGTTAAACAAAACACGGGAGAAAAAAAAACGGATTCATCGCAATGACATTCTTGAAATACTTCTACTCTACTCTAATTGAAGGAAGACATTCAGTTCCTCTCAAAGAGCTCCTCACATTTACGGCTCCGTGTGGTCATCCTAAAAGGAAGTAGGAGCAGTAGACACACATGGCTCGGAGGATGGCAACCGACGCGCCCTGGACATAACCGTCATGTGGATCGCCCTGAACGAGGAGTGCGAGGCCATGACGAGAACGGACGTCCAGCGGCTCTTCGTCGCGTACAGCTTTCTGGGGAGGGACGGTGCCGATCTGGAGACCCCCGTCAGCCTGCCCAAGCCCAAAGACTGCCGGGAGAAGTGCCACTTCAACTTCAAGAAAAGTGAGCTGTTTTCAATCATTATTTCTTTGTATGAGAAGGTACCTGATAACCGCCGCCCATGGAGATTTGCAACATCCGTGCAAGATGCGTTGCCACCTTTAAATAAAGTGGGTCCCGGTGGGACATCATTCACCTGATGAAATGCAGAAGTATAACTTATCTTCACGCCGGTCTTCTGTGGGGCCGTGGCACCTTGGACGAGTTGAAAACTTTAATTTATGAAATGAAACTATTTGATAACTAATAAAAAAAATATTTCGAAGATATGTGAAGTCCACCAATCTGCAGTGGGGCCGCGTGGTGGACTATGCCCTGATACCCTCTGTATAGAGGAGGCCTTTGCCCAGCAGTGGGACATGTATTGGCTGTTACTTTTATGTTAAGGTGTAACGGCCACACCGAATATAATATTTTCGACCGAGACTGATTGAGGCAACTGGTGATCCACCCTCTGAGAAGTTCCAGCACTCTTTTAAGAAGATGAGCTATCACCACCAACAATTCTTGTTCACCATATCATTTAAAGTACCTGGAGGACCGAGCTTTGCTCGGTTTTTTTTTTTTGGTGAATCGTGTATTTTGGAAATTACATTTAGGTACAAATTACTAAGTAATGAAATATGCATAATATGTTTCGATCTTACCGAAGTAATAATAAGAAAATATGAACTGGTATTTTTCACAAAAGAACTTTAAAAAAGGGGAAAAAAATAACAAAATAACTAATCGACAAAAAATTAAAGATAAAGAAAGCAATGATCTGGAATCGAAAAAAAAGTTAAAAAAAGTGTGTAAATGATCGTGATACGAACCACGGCCTTCTGTTTCGTGGCTGTTTGTTAGCGGCCGCCCGATTACCGAGCTATTATAACATTTTTTTTTCCGGTGAAATTTACCGTCGTATTCGAATAATATTTTTCATTCCCTGAAAACTGGGATAAAACGACATTTTCTAAAAATGAAACCTAGTCAGATCAATTTTTTGCCCCCGAATCTACGCACATACTAAATTTCATGAAAATCGCTGGAGCCGTTTCCGAGATTCCAATTATATATATACAAGAATTGCTCGTTTAAAGTATGAGATAATTAAATAAAATGAAATGAAATTAAAAGAAACTCAGACAATCAGAGACGTAAAATTGTTGCCAGTTAAGTTATAGCAAAGAGTTAAGTTATCAACTTATTATTAACCATTATTTGAACTTCTGCGCGTGCTTTGGACACTTTGAATTTTATGAAATTAAACATATTTCTTTCTTTTTTGATATGTCTGCTGTTTTTTTATCACTACTACATGGTTTAAACTGATAATATTTACCGCCAGTCAGGTCAGTTCAAAATATATATTTTCTATCACGAATTTTTTTCCGATTTTTTATCCTACCAATTGTAGCGTTTCGGCCTACTAGCCTACTTTTCGGCTTGATTATGCGGACTGAAAGCAGTTGGCTATGATTAAAGAAATATAATATACCAACTACTACCTTATCAGACTACCGTAGTAGCTAGTAGAATAATGCTTACCATGAAATTTATACTCTTAGTTTATGATAAAAAATTAATAGCGTTCCAACTGAGGGAATGCGACTTGCCACTGCTGGGGCACATGGCCAAGTGTAGACGTCGTCGCAACGTCCGACCCAGCCACAGGGACTGCCTCACCTTCACCGTCATCAGCGAACCCTCAGAAGACCCCCTGGGCCTGAACAGCTGTGAGGATATCGGGTAAGTTCGGCCTCCAAAATGACAGTTAAGAGCCGCGATAGCTCAGTCTCCGGGCGCTCGCTTTCAATTCAATTTACTCGAGCAACCTGAGTTCGATCCCCCGTGCCAGCACCAATGAAATTGTTAATTTTAAGTGCTGACTTATCACGTGCTCATCGGTGAAGGAACACATCGTGAGGAAACCTGCATATTTTTCGAAATAATAACAAAAAAAAAATATTTCGAAAATATGTGAAGTCCGCCAATCCGCAGTGGGGTCGCGGTACTATGCCCTGATACCCTATTTACGGAGGAGGCCTTTGCCCAGCAGTGGGACATTTATAGGCTGTTACTTTAACGTGAAGTAATCGTATCGAGTTACGGCCGGTTCCAATGTTCCATCTGTAGATTTGGCTACTGTAGGCTGACTTGAGTATTATGGAGCTAATGTCAAATGCCTATCGTTACCAAGTCTCCAGGGGTTGTCAACTTTGACAGTTATGCCCGGCTGTACCTGGGCGACGTGCTGGACCGTTGCTTCAGCTCTGACAGCTACACCGACGTGGTGTCTGTCAGGGGAGTGAAATCAAACTCCGCATGCGGCGTCCTGGCTGTACGCATTGCGGGCCTTAGAGCACTCAAGCGCATGTGGTGAGCGTTCCCTCTATTACGTTACCTCCCTATCCAAATGCCAATATTCACTAGCCAGCGTTCGTCTTTCGACTTTTATGAGAATAGTTGCCAAATGAGCAGACGGCTCACCTGATGTTAAGTTAATACCGCCACCCATGGACATCTGCTACACCCGAGGGTTGCAGATGCGTTGACAACCTTTTGAAAATAGGGCTCCGGCCACCTCACTCACCAGACGAAACGCGAAAGTATTATACTTCGACTTTGTGTCGGTCTTCTGTGAGGTCGTGGAACCTCCCGGATGAGCCTGCCCATTCGTGCAACAGCTGAGGAAGCTGCGTGGCCCTACCACCATTCCTTCTATTACATTACCTTATCCAAATCCATATATTCATTAGCCAGCGTACGTGTCTCGACTATCAATTAGAATATTACTTGCGTTTATTGATGTGTGAATTGTTTTTTTTTTCGGATATATACGGATTTATAAATTATATGGAGCTTATGAACAAGATTGTTTATATTGTACTAAGACGCGATACACGCGTGCCTCTATTTTACCCTGAAAATTGAAGAACAAATGTTGGGCAGTGAGCACCGCTTCGCACAGTGCTAAATGTATATGACTCTAATTGTGATTTGTTTTTATTTTCACAACTTCAATTTGAGAGAATCGTTACATTAATACTTAAATCGTAATATGCAAATTAGGCTAGGAACCGACTTACTCTTTCTATTATATATTTTTTTTATATTATTTTGCGGACATTGGTGTTGGTTATACGTTTAGTAAAATAATTCGAAATTATGGTTTATGTATAATTGTTAAGTAAGTGTTTTGTCTCCTAATAAATAAAAAAAAACGACGAGTAACATTTTAGAAATCTGCATAGAAAAATCAAGTGAACGGAATAGAGTATGTTTCGAGTCTTTTTGCAACGTCGTTTATCATTCATGGAAATTCTAATCAGTGCCGTCTATTTGAATCCGTATATTTGAAAGTTCTGGGTTCATCTACACTTCCCACTGTATCTATCAGACTCCGTGCTGTAGCGACCACTAATTAAAAAGGATCATATCGCGGCGTGACGGTCGCTGTCTTGCGGACGATGATTATAAGATCATCTAAATAGACGCAAAGTCCGCGGTTGGTAAATGGTATCACTCAGTCATAGTGCTAGCTCGGCCGGCGGCGGACGCGCAGTCGCCTACACGCGCGAGAAACGACGACGCACCGGAGCGTTTAGTAATACAAACCACCACTCGACCATCCCCGTGTTAACCTCCCTATCTGTGTACGGAAACACATAGCGCGTCTCTCGTTTACGCCACCTGTACAGCTCACACAAGCACACGTTTCCCGAGCCGACACAGATCTGTGATTTTGTCTGTGACTTCGCTTTTGTGTGCGCGGGGTTGTGATTGAGAAAGTTTAACCCCTCCCCTGGGTCCGTTCCGCTTTTGTGTGTGAGGAGTTGCGTTTAGGGAAACGTAACCCCTGCCGATGGGGGTTGATCTGATACAGTAACAGTTCCGTCTGAGCTTCACCGTTTTCACTGACTGATCGTTTGAGTGGTTTCTGTTGTACATATCTTTATTTTTAAATCAATCATTGTAAATACGTTTCTTATACCTATCGAATTCATCGCCATGTTCAAATGTTGAAAAATGTTTTGTCAAAGCAATTTCGATGCCCACTGTAAACAAATAAACATCACAATGAGATTGTACCTAACTCACCGACTGATACCTGAAAATGTTCATCTTTTTGTCTAAAAATGTTGTCTAGCCCATCACTTTGTCTAAGATTAATCGTTAGGTGTACCGCTCACTGATTGATACTTATTATGCCAAAATGTTGTTTATCCTATCCTTTTATCTAAGGCTAATCGTTATACTTTGCTCATTGATTGATACCTATTATGCGAAAAAGTTTTTGTCTAGCCCATCTTTTTGTCTAAGATTAATCGGTCAATCAATCTGCCGGTTGCATAGGCGCTGTGCGTCCTTGCCCCAGTGCCGTGCCAAAGACGTAGACGTATTTAGCCCGGGCTTCCCGGCCTACGGCGATTGCAAAGTTCCTTTCGCCTCCCCGCACGCCATAATAGACCTTATTGTCGCGGGCACAAGTGCCACAGAGCCCGAAGATTAAAATTCGGCCGCTCGTTATCCGGGCAAAAATGCGCCCGATGGCCGCCGATGAAAGTGAACTTTAACGTAACGCAATAAGGGTGATCGGAAAGGAATTCATTGGTTGTTTGTGCGCGAGCTTTACTTGTCCCCATGCGCTGACATTTTGATGCTGAGAAAGAAATATTTCGCCCGCCACTTATCTTCCTCAGGGCTGTACATTCTATTTCAATGTACCGTTATCAGCGCAATATATAATTGGACGTTCTATTGCACTCTTTAAATTCGATTGCCGCCTTTCATTTCTGTAAAATATCTTGACTCATTGATTAGCTATTCAAATTCCTACTTTGTTAATTCGGTAGCACAGACTGAGCTATTAGCCAGACTTGTGATCAATGCAAATTATCTTAGTCGAAATGCTAAATTATTTTACATACCGTATAACACAATTCAGCTCTCTAAAACCCTGTTTACTGAATATTTTCCATGTACAATACACTTGTTAGCAGTGATCATCCGATAGATATGTTCAACCAAAAACTGAGTACATTCAAAAGAATTATTACATGCCCATGATGTTTTAGTTCTTTTCTTTTTTATTTTTTGTTTTACATTTTTAATCTAGTGCAAAATCGAGAATCAAACATTGTTTCGAAATCATCGTAGCACGTTGTGTACTCATATTTGTGGCCGACAGTATGTAACAGTTTACCTCATTTAACTTTATTTTAATGTGTATATTACTGATTGGTGTTTTGTTTACCAATTGAAATAAATAAATATATATACAGTCTGTTACTGCACGCCGCCGATCAATGTGACGTGTTCAAAACCACATGCGGTCTATATATATGGTCCATTCAATTTCGATCCGAGATTGGCGTTGCGCAAAGTTTCTGGATAATATTCAGATCAGTGGATCTGAAGCAGTGGCTCAAGAGTGTTTTATCCCCATGACTATCGAGCTCTTGTGTTCGTTTGTGCATTATTGATTGCTGTCTTTGCACAAAAATATCTCTTATCTCGAGTATGTTGCAATCTCTGGCATCTCCGACGCTTTGGCCGTTCGTATCGTTTAGGAATGATTGGCTAATTGAAAGACATTTAAACGTTACGTCAGAAGTTAGATACATTTCTTGAATGGAAAGTAATGACCACAGGAAACTTTTACTCAAAGAGTCATGGCATGGTCATTGGCCATGAATGTTTATTATCAAGCTGGTCATTCTTATAACTGGGATATTAGGCTTTGACTGGGAAAATTAATAATTGTAACTATCTTATATAGGTATCTAATTTGCTTAAAAACCCTTTCTTTTTGTTTAGCAATTTTTTTGTGTGTAATTTAAATGATCGATCTCATATAGAACTTATTTTATACAAGATTACTTTTCAAATTGGTCAATGTACTTACTTTTGTGCGTTTTAGATACCTATATTCATATTTAAGACTCAATTGCATCGCGCGCATAAGATGAACTAGCAGTGGGCGGTGCCATTTATAGTTTCCGTGTTATTTCAAGTTCATGCACTTTTGACGAAGATTTCACTCCCATATTACCTAATATTTCTTAACGAAAAAAGACGATGTGAGTTTATATTTAAATATATAGTATGGTTAAAATTTATATTAAGTAGGTAATTTACATTAGTGTTATTATATACAATGAATGATTCAATTCATTGAATGCCTTATGATTAATGAATGTTATAAAATTTTTGGTCCACTTAGATATGAATGATATGAAGGATCATGTGAATTTAGTGTTTTGTTAATGATAGGTTTGGTTAATAAAATAGTCGGTAAATTGATATCATTCTTGTAATATGTGCTTGTGTAAAAGGTCAGTAATTATCGGATGATATTGAAATATTGCCTAAATTATTTTTTATTTTACATACCATGTAAAAAGTTTCTCTTTTTTTTGCAAATCATCGTCATTATAGTTACTCGCATTTTGAATTAGTTCATTCACATTTTACTTATATCATAAAGCTTTCATTCGTTAAATTTACTTTTAAAGGTTTTACTAAGATTTTCCTATTAGGAGCGAGTACTTTCTCCACTACAACTTACGAGAAGGTATTATATCAATAACTTCTGAAAAGTTTTAAATGTTTAAAAAACACAAGTAACTTCTTAATTACCGTTGGAAAGCTGAAAGACATTGAACCAGTGACATTCGCCTACAGTCAAAAATAAAAGGAGAAACTACGCGCCGGAGTTTAAATTCCAATTTGTAAAACCCGAAACTGTTTTTTTTTATGTGAAAAGCTGGCAAGCGAGCTGGTGATTCGCATGGTCTGAAGTGATAACTGCCGCCGTTGCAGATTAGTTGCCACATTTAATAACGTGTGCCCTGGCTACCTCACTCATCAGAAGTATAGAACTTCCACTTCACGCCAGTCTTCTGTGAGGTCGTGGTACTTACCCGGACGGACCTGCCCATTCGTGCAACGTTGAACACTGTTGCATGCTCCTACCACATTGACGAATAAGCATTTGCCTGTGTCGTTCGAAGCGTATTAAGGCTAAACTTGAACATGCCAGGTTCTGCGGCAGCGATTACAAACCAAGAAAACGAATTCCTGTTTTAAATTATTGTAAACGGATTGATTGGCAAAAGGTTTTGGTTAGGGTTAGATTTTTATCTTTTTTAGTAAGGACAAAGAATTAATAAAACAAAAGAAAAGGACATTTTTAGTTAAATTTGGGTACGTCGTATTCCTTCCATCTGGCATCCCTGTCAGCTTTATAAAAGTAGTCGTTTGTGTAGCTTTCAGGAAAATTGTGTAGTGTGTCTCATCTTTTACGGTTCCTTTTACTCTTGTAATAAGAAAATTATCAGGAACTATTTAAAAATATAATAAAAAATAGGCCTGACGCTCTAGCCACTGAGCTAAACAGCTGATAGCCACAGCGACGAAAATCTTAACGCCTTCTTTCTACATCGTTATTTAGCATTTGAAGCAATGCTTGGCGCATCTATTGTTATATCCGTTCCAGCATACAAACAATTTCGAATATAGTTTTACAAAACCACAGTGAAAAGCCTATGAAAGAGAAGAGGAACGGTAATAAAATTTCAATTAATTAATGTTTAAGAAAAAATTCTCCGCCCCACGTTTTTCAGTCAACTTAGACGTATTTTAAATATAAAGGCAGAGAGGGCGGGCCGATGTAAGTTGAATGGTGGCATAACGGTTTTTCCTTACGTGACGGTTTCTACGCTCACACCTTCCAGAAATTTAAACTTCCTGCCAACAGCGAACGAATACGAATAACATCGTGTCCGATGTTGCGAATTCTATTCGTAAAGAGTGACGGTAACCCCAATTTCGGACGCAGCAGTGCCATCCTGTCCGTGACATCTTGTCACTGAAATATTCCAGTGTCGCTCGCGAGACATTCATTCGCCTTTTAGATCCCACGTGGCCTCGCGGCGAATATAGATGACTCAGGATCGTTTACGAAATGCGCAACATACGAAACAAAACAGACGGTTCGAAGATCGAACCCTGTAATGAACCCCGTAGAGCTTTCCGGTGTATGAAGACCTCAGAACATTTGCGGCATCGTCTTTGTAGATTTGTCTTACCGCAGCGTTTCTAAATCTTTTTTATGCCGGGGAACGGTTAGCTTTGATATCTTGTTGGCCGGCACATTTACGATGTACTGTCAGCTCTGTTTTGACTTCAGAGTTGTTATCGAATAAAGCTTTTATAGAAACGGGAAAAACGAAACTTATATCAATTATTCTTACAAAAAGTAGGATCTTAAAACTGTTTGAACAATTTTCTTTTGACAGTGCACAGTGTTTATTTTTCTTTCCAAACACTTGTAAATACTTATATAAAATTAAAGGACCACCCGTGTTTCGAGGATGTACTGAGTTTCGTCTCTAAAACATTATGTGCAAGATATATTTCAAATATCGTTTTATTTTAATAATCGTAAATATCTTATTTACAGTTATTAAGATATTCCTTCAACAAATACTTTTTTTTTAATAAATTTGATATTCCTTATTGTAACATCGAAGTACATCCCGATCTGTTCTTGACAATCACGACTTTGTTCAGATCTCTTCTAAGTATTGACAAGTTTCTGTTTGCTCTCGTGGTTAGTGGCACATTTCTCTCAAAATGTTGTTGAAACCAGTATACTGTAGTTGTTTTTTTTTTTTCTCAAAGTGTTAATGAATGATTTAAGGACGTTTGTGAATGGACAAATTCGATCAATATCTGCGATTAACACTTATATTATAAAAGTAGACACTCCTTTATCATATGGACATTTCCAAACCTATTTGTTACTAAACTACCGGGAAAATTAATTGCAGTTTTGGCTAAATGCGGCCGCAGGCTGTTATATTTACACCTGTATCAACCGCCAAATTTTCGCGACGCCTCGCGGAATTGACTCAACACACGTGCAAATTCCAGTCTCATCAACACCGTGATGCGTCTAATGAGACCAAAGATAGATCACCGTTAATTCGAGCCGCTCCGGCGCAAGTTCAAGTATAGCTTGGCATGCGTCCGTTGGCACAATCCAGGCGGATGCTGCGCCATACGGCACAAATTCCCGGTGCATGTGCAGCGAAAAACGCTAACAACTCACCGGGGAAACTACATACTGTACTGTACTACTGCTACTGACTACTGCATAAAAGTAACAGCCTATACATGTCCCACTGCTGGGCAAAGGCCTCCTCTATACAGAGGGTATCAGGGCATAGTCCACCACGCGGCCCCACTGCGGATTGGCGGACTTCACATATCTTCGAAATATACTTCGACTACTGCATACGTACGTAAATCATACAGTTCTCAGGGAATTACTATGCATATGGAACTGCAAAAAAACCATAGACCCAACGACGTAGTGAGAAAGATAGGGACATACTCGTAAAATATGAGGTGTTTGGAAGGAAAAGGTTTTTGGTGAATGTACAAAAATCGGTAGGTTTAAATATTAAAGAATAAAATGTCTAAATTGAGATCTTAAGTTTTTTTTAATGTTCAATATTCAACATTTTTGATCATGATTAGGGAATACCATGCAAAAGTGGTCTCAAAAAATCACAGAACTGAATTGAGAATTCAATATTATCTATCATGTCGGAATGTGTTTAAGTGCGTATGAAACTATTAATATGACCCATTAGACAACAATTTAGATTCAATCATATATCTACCCACTACACAATGTCTAGATCCGATGATATATCTCCAACGGCTGCAAAAACACCATCCGTTAAACGTGAAAGCTTCTGTCTAGCGTTCAAATCTTGATCGAGGCACTTAACTCCTAGGCGTTAGGTGGCTTATTTCTGTAGACACTGTCATACGAATGATTGTTTACACTATCAACCATAACTCTGCTTCTATCTATAGGATTCCGTTCAGTTTTTTTTTTTTTAACTTTATCTTACCTTAGCGTGGGTAACATTCATGGATACATCTCCTAAAACGAGATTGGCTATCTAAAAAAAATGTTTAGAATAAGAAAAGAAACCAAGTGTAGATGTGTAGTGATTTGTGACAAACAATCAGTGATCCTTAGTGGTTTATAAACTTACATTGACACGTAGTTTAGATCCGACGACATAACCTACAATGGACAATACACACGACACACAGAACATCATGAACAAAGAAGCGATAGGTCAGTGTTCCCTGATTTTTACAATATTGAGACGGAGTAAACAATGATTTCGTTTGACATAAAACCAACCTTGGCTGTTATATCAACACAACTATACAATATTTTGATATGGCATCTAATTACGACACGAAAACATGAAATTGAATTTAAATAATCGGTAGCAACACATACGCGATGGATAATAATTACCACAGATAAAATATTTTTTTTTAATTTGTAAAATTTATTTCCCTATTATTTGAGCAATTTTTAATTGTAAGTCTTTTGGGTTGCATAAATTTAAGACCTGTGATAAGAAGTAAAGATGAAATTACTTCAAACAATTTGCCTGCTATCACCAAGATCTTTGGAAAAAATTGTGAAAATTTTAAATCATTGTTTATTCTATACAAATTAAGTGCTTTTATTTAAGTAGTTTTTCGGTAGGTCTTTTCCAAACTTTCTTAATACTGGCCGCTACTAAATCTAGTGATTTTAATTGTAGCATAAAAACAAAACACAAGGCAAACACATTTTTATGTACATGTGCTAATGTTATTGTATCTAATTTCCCGTTTCAATTAGTTCTGCAGTAATACATTATTATTATTATTACTTCAAAATTTGACAGAAGTAAAACTAATTGATTCATTGTAGTAGTATATATAGTGAGTAGTTATTTAATAGACAAGTATATAGTTAAAATCTCCAATATACACAACTAAACACAAAACACAAACTTACTTCATCGCCATTCGTTTTGTTGTGTGCGAATTGTTTTTTGTTCTTTAAAGTTGACCGTTCAAATCTTCTTTGTGCTCCTTTGTTTTTGTATCTAAACAATTTAAATACAAAACATTTTTAACAATGTCACCTTGAGTTAGACGCTTGGCTTGACTTATCCATACTAATATTATAAATGGGAAAGTAACTCTGTCTGTCTGTCTCGCTTTCACGCCAAAACTACTGAACCGATTTAAATGAAAATTGGTAGACAGATAGTCTAAAGCCCGAGAACGGACATAGGCTATTTTTTAATTCGAAAAAACTTTTAAAGAAACCAATTTATTTAAGGGCTTCACACGAGCGAAGCCGCGGGCGAAAAGATAGTTTATAATGTTTTCTTATCAAAACGTACATATAAAAGAAAAGTGAATTTGCCTACGATTTGATACTGTTTCTCGATACAGACTCTTTTCTAAATTTGTAACTTATTTGATATTTATTTAATTTCTAATGGCATGTTGACTGACAGTTTTATTGTTTCTCTTTGAAACATCATTAATTCGCAGTTTGTGTTTCCAAACTATAAACATTTCTAATCTCTTCATATTTTACACCAACATTGATTCATAAACACTTTAACATTTCCTAAGTTTTGCTTACTTGTCACGTTGTTTTCCATCTTGCCTTTTCTTGTGCTCCATGTTGTCCCCCACTAACACACACCTGCCACGTAATACGAGTTCGTGATAAGGGCGTGTTGCACAGAGTTCGGCGAGTGGATCAGCCGTGTCGCGGTGCCCGCACTCCTCAGGACCCGAAGGCGGCTCAGCGAGAGCTGGGGCAGGGCGGTCACGCTCCGAATGGAGATGGAAGTGAGTGGAATTACTTTACGCTAAAACGTCGATAAGATTGTTGCAGTTGATTGTTTGACCTCGATTGTTTTAACGGTGGTAGGGCCACGCAACAGTGTTCGCTGTTGCACGAATGGGCAGGTCCGTCCGGGTTAGCACCACGACCTCACAGAAGACCGGCGTAAAGTAGAAGTGTTGCACTTCTGCGTTTCGTCTGGTGAGTGAGGTAGCCGCGGCCCACATTATTAAGAGGCGGCAGCGCACCTGTAACCCTACGGGTGTTGCAAATGTCCATGGGTAGGCGGTTATCACTTAACATCGGGTGAACCACCAGCGCGTTTGCCACTTCCGCACATAAAAAAAAAAATTGTCGACCCGATGACTCCGTGGCGCAGTTGCCAAGGTATTGGCTTCGGCGTCGGGGGTCGTGGGTTCGTTTCCCTCACGGGACTGCTATTTGTGTGACCCACAGATATTTGTCTCGCATCTGGGTGTTTGTCCGCGTGAAATTTATGTTTGTAAAACGTCCTTACAATACAGGATAATGTTATCCTAAAGTAAGGGCAATGTTTTTTTTTAAGGAAAGAGAAAAAAAAGAGAGGGATTTTAAAGCAACCGATTTACGAGTCCATCGCGGCTAAAACATTGCTAGACTACTAGAGTTGTTTGTTTGATTTTAATGAAACCGTTTGGGGTTTCCATCGAGAACACCTCTGTTCTTGTTTAGATCTTGCAGCTGTCGTTGCGGATCGCTATGGAGGTATGTTTTAGTTTGAGCTCCCTTAGCGATAAAAATTAACTATAGCAAACGTGAAACTTTATTTTGAAACAATATAGTACTGTTACTATCGTTTGTTTTTACCCGATTACGGAGAAGCCAAAGAAGTACCTATATGGCGTCGTATGTATGTGTGTATGTGTGTCCGTCCCCTGATTTCAATGAATGGCATGTCTTATATTAGACTTTATAGCGTAGGTGTCGTGGTAGTTACCCGGATGGACCCGCCCCATTCGTGCAATAACGAAAACTGTGCAAGTGGTGTTTCTTCGTTTTTGTAATTTGTTGACTTATTCTTAAAACAAGAAAGTAAAAGTAAATTATTATTTCCAAAATAGAATTCTTAAGATTTAATTTTCTCTTCATGATTAACGTTTCTTTAACACACCAAAAGTACCAAGAACAGCTTGAACAAGGCATTCATCGCCAATTCGAGAGCGCTGCAACTTATATTTTAACTTGTGAACTTCATAAATGTAGTTTCAACATTTGTACTGTCGCGGAGAAACACCCAGTTTGAGTATTTTCGACATATTTCACGTTAGTTTCGTAGATAACTAATAAACATAATATTTCAATTTGTTCGTAATGGACACTATAATTGTCCTGCAACATGCAAGGTTCTCAATGATTTATGTTTTATTAGATATAACGGAACGAGTTCTCCAGTGTGGTTTTCAAAAAGCGTGACGTCAGCTGGGCTGACGTCACTTTGCACACTATCCTGACGATCACTCATAGTATCACTGATTAAAACTCTAAGTAACACTTTACACAAATTTAATTCTAGCACAAAGTAACAATGTCACTTAAATGGACCCGTACAGTTCAACGACTGAAACAGTAATGTCTCTAGCTCGGTTTTTTTTTTTTTTTTTTTTTGGCTGGATGAGCCACTGTTGGCCTTAGGGGCCTTCACAGATCCGACGGACTTGAGGTGGCCTGGCGCACGAGGCGCCTAGCCTGAACCTCGGCGTACTATTATTACGCGTTATGTGACTAAGCTCGAGGGCTCCCGGGGGAGCCTCGGCTCGGGCCGTCACGCTATTATTGTTACCGGTTTGGGAGGCCGCCAAGCTCTTAGGGCGCTTTGGCGGGCGCTCCATGGAGTGATCAGGCTCAAGGGTCCCCGAGAGGGGACCTCGGCTTGGGCTGTCACTCAGCACGCGTTTAGCATTCCGATTCGAGGGTGCCCGAGAGGGCCGGACCTCGGCTCGATCGGTAGCTATTATCTGACTGGGGACCCGTACAGTTCAACGACTGAAACAGTAATGTCTCTAGCTCGGCTCTCTTACAGTAATTTATAGTAGGTGAATCAAGTCAATTGATCAACTATATCATCAAACTTAATTGTTAAAGTCTGTTAATAAAATGAGTAAACAATTAATTCGCTTGTAATTTAAATCATAGCATCATTAAACTAAACCCTAAATAATAATAATAATCGTTTTTGACGTTAAGTTTTTGCGCCGATAGATATATACCTAGTTTCAACCGCGGCTTGATAGTTTAATCTACACTATATTTATAATAAATTGTATGCCATTCACTGAGCAAAATTTGATGTTTGTCCCATGACCATGAACGCTGTAAAGGGTTCGATAGGGTGGGAATTAAAATCCAAAATAAACGCGACAAATCCGTAAACATACTCGTAGTTTCATTGAGTAATATGTAGGTAATTGTGTAAATATATAGTTATAAACATTCCCAAAAATAAAGACAAATTAGGTAAGCGGAATCATTTTCGCAAGAGTCCGATTCGTTTTATTCATATTTGTTTACATTTTGTATGTTTTATTTTTCGAAATTTACTATGATAGGAATCGCCTAATCTTACTGGCTTATTTCATCACATCTAGCGCATCTTAAATTTCAAGAATGAAGAAAAATTTCTAAGTGTTCATTGTTATTTGATTCAGCCGTTAGAAATTTAAACGTTTACATGAGCTAAACTGTATAAAATAATATTATGTAGTCCAAGAGAACTGTGATCATTGTAACGTGTTGAAATAAGTTCAAGTACATAATAGATATGCGGGTTATCCCATTAAAAAGTAACTAATAACTTGCGTAACTCTGTGTTTTTTTTTCGATATTGTCCATCTTATATTTTTTAATTCATAATAATCGTGGATTCTGAACACAACTGAGTAGTATTATTCTTTTAAATAATAATTGTTTATATTAAGTCGTGTAAGTCACTCATCAGACGAAACGCAGAATTGTAACACTCCTACGGTCTTCTGTGATGTCTTGGCACTTACCCAGAGGGACCTGCCCATTCGTGCAACAGTGAACACCGTTGCGTAGCCCTACCACAGTATATTTATAACGAATTCAATATAAATTTTAAAAAAGCCTGTGGCTCTCCACTGGCGTTTAGAAACACTTACGAACTCTGTTATAACCGCGCGTACAAGTGACGAAAGTTTTATAAATAAAATGTATCCCACGTCACATGTGATTATAGATATTTTTTTCGCGACGAGCCGAGTTTATTCACTCCTAATTTCGGCTTGATTTATTCGCGATTTCGACCGAAATAACTTTACGAATCGCTTGCAATGCGGCATTGACCATGGCTCCGATTTTAAAAAATATATGCCTATTTGTTGTTAGCGTACTAGCTGTTATGTTAATATACTATTGAAATGAATTGCACAAATATAGTAGGTATATAGCCGTGATAGCTTAATGCCTGAGCGTCAGCTTTCCAATAAACTCGCGCAAGACAAGTTCATATCTCGGTCCCGTCACCAATGAAATTGTTAAATGAAATTTGGACTAGTATTAAAAAGTGTATGATCAGCCTTTTTTATGGAAACGGAACCATACGAGCAAGTGATTCGTCTGACAACTTCCCTGCACACAACACCAGAATGAACTTTGTTCGTGATGCTAATTAAAACCCAATCGACGACTGCGCCAGTTAAAAAAAATCTACTTAGGTTATACCCCAAAAGCGGTATAAAAGCATTTCGTGCGTACGCCAGTGGGATTCAAACCTGCGATTCCCTATAAAGTTATAGCTACTATACCAGTAGGTGCTCCCTAGGGCGTTTGCCAGTGGAAGCTCGATAACGTTAGTATAGGCTAACGGTGGTAGGGCCACGCAGCAGCCTCGGCTGTTGCACGAATGGGCAGGCTCGTCCGGGTAAGTACTACGACCTCACAGAAGACCGGCGTAATGTGGAAGTATAATACTTTTGCGTTTCGTCTGGTGAGTGAGGTAGCCGGAGCCCAATCTTCAAAAGGTTGTCAACGCATCTGTAACCCTCGGGTGTAGCAGATGTCCATGCGCGGTGGTGTTCACTTACCATCAGGTGAACCACCCGCTCGCTTGGCAACTGTTCACATAAAAAAAGAAAACGCTAACTCTGTCCACCTCATCTTTTCGGAGTGCTTTAGGTACTTCAAATATAAAACATGTTACGAATGAACTCCAAAATGACTGGAATGATGTTGGCTTTCAATTTTCAGGCTATCTTAAGGAAGGATCTCTTAAACTGTGTGGTATTTTTTGTAGAAAAACATCGAAGTCGGAATTACTATTAAAATGAAAGGATAATATTATATGAATCTAAAATATTATATTCGATATTTTTTTTTGAAAGTATACAGTTTAATAACCCGAATCCACGAACGCTAGCTGCGTTTCCTCGCTGAATAGTTATGCTTAACCTTTGAGCGCGAAAAGAACCAGCTCTCTTGTCACCGGCCGCGGCGTTAAGACTAGGACATAAACATTTTAAAAATTTTGATGTGCGGGGACCCAACAGACCTACAGTTTCAACAGAAAATGGCACAAAAACATAACCTAAACATAAAGACTCATATCTCCCAAGGGATCAAAGTTTTTCACTATAAATAGGAATTATATACGTCTACATATATTTATTAAACATTACGTAAAATTTCTATTTGAGCTTACTACTCCTATTCAGACAACATGACTAAACACGCGCAATACAATTCATATAACATTGTCTACCTCTGGTGGGATATTAATAGTTATGCGAATTATAAAATATATTAGTCATAATATTATTTAAGCCGTGAGTCGATTGCCAAATCGCTATTGCGTTCGTTTGAGTATTTTTAGATGTTTACTTGATGGTTCAAAGGTCTACGTCAGTTTAGTTTAACGTCATCTATCGGTGCGAGTTTAAACGAATTCGTCTCCAGTTTTGAGGAAATTTACTGATCCGCATCTTGTTATTTTATTCCGTGGCTAGATGGCGCTGATACAACTATATGATTT